GGAGAAGGATGCCGTGGCCGACGTTGAGGAGGAGCTCAAGAAGGCTGCGATCGAGGAAAAGGCATAGATTCGAGGAGGAAATTATCCGTACATGCTCAATGCGTCAACTTATACATGAAGTCTAGCGTTTGTCTAGCATTCTCACTGCGCTTTTTCTTTATTTTTTTTTTCGTTTGGCTCTTGCATATGCATTATATCTACGATTCATAAGTAGACAGCTGGTTGTTTCCAAAAATTCATATAATCGAAGCCTTTTATTTCATCTAGCCTAGGAGAAAAGCCCAGTCATACTCTGATCAGAGTTGTACATTATCATGTGATATGATATTGAATTAACTTCCAAATACTTGTCTGTCGTATCTGTCGTGAATGTATCTAAATGTAGGTAGTATGTAGTTATGTATGGGTACATTATTAGCAAGACTCCAAAGAGAAAGAGTGCCAGTTATGTCCAAGCCGTTGGAAGTATCCAACGGATGTCGGGAGGTAACATCAACACCAACGCTAATAATCGCATGAGGGGGAATAAAAAGAGAACAGGAAGCAGTAAGCAGAAGGTATAGAGGGGGTACGAGATGTGTACATAGTCTCCCAAACCCCAAAAGAAGAGACTCCAGTCAAATATTGCATGTACAGGAGACAACAAGCCTCAGCCGAAAATGTCCAGAAAAAGGAAGAAAAGAAAAGAAAAACGGCCGTCACGTCATGTCACATCACATCACATCAATATTGGAAGTAGTTACCGATCATTTCGCGATAACAACCCCCCAACATCATGAAGCTCGACATCAGTGTCAAGCGTGGAATCCGAAGAACCGGGCATCGCAACCGACCGATTCCCAAAAGCCGAGGCGGGAAACGGTAGGTCCGCAGGCCCAGGAAGCGGCGAGCGATGCCCGAAGATAGCACGCGACGGACTGAAAATCCCCAAATCCTCTAAAAAGGCACGACTGCCGCCGCCTCGCCGGCGCTGCACAGGCTCCACGGGCGAGGACAAGCACGTCTGGGCGCGCACATGCTCCGACCCAGACTCCGGCAGGGCTCTTGTCAGCAAACCGCCGACATCGGAGAACGACACGCGGCGCGGCGTGTCTGAGGGCACGCTTTGGCGCGGGGACTGGTTTGTGCGCAGGTACTCGTGCGGCGAGACTTTGCGCTCGAGACTGTCTGTTGTCGAGGCGTGGTCGTCGTCCGAGCGACGGGTTGTCGTGAACGACCATGCTGGATCGAGGGCGCCGGTTCGTGCGGCTGGTGGGGTGATGGGCGCTGGTCTGGGGAGACGAGTTGTGTCTGGGGTGTCGGGGATTGTGTAGATGTCTGGGTCTAGACGGATGCAGAGGCCGGTTGCGAGCTCAGAGTCTGAGCCCCATTGGTTTTGCATGACGGTGTTTCTGCGGAGGAAGGATTTGTCCATGCTTTCTGAGACGGAGGCTGAGCCTTGGGCGCGCTTGTATTTTAGTTTCTTGACGCCGCGGTCGCGGACGAAGGAGCCTATGACGAGGACGTTGGCGACTGCTGTTGCGGCGAGGATTTCGAGGGAGGCGAGGAGGGAGCGGTATGATTGGGCGCCGTCATTGTCAATTACGGAAGAGACGCGGTAGGAGGTTACGGCGACCAATATCAGAGATAGGCAGAAGAGGCTGGATAGGGTGAGTCTGCGCTTTAAAGGCATTTGCGCCATGAGGATTATTGGGATTGGGATGGCCACGAGGAGGAGGTCGGTTAGCACGTCGCAGGAACCCATTGTTATTAGGTTGACGTAGCCGGCGCGACAGGTTGGGCCTGGGTCTGGGACGACCTGCCAGTAGTGGTAGAAAGGCTGGCATTCGGCCAGGGTTGCGATGACCACGGCTATTAGGGTTGAGACGAGGAAGTAGGAGATGAAGCGGAGGAAGAAAGTTGTCGATCGGCGCCAGGCAAGCCCTGTGACTCGCTTTAGAAATTCGCACATGGTCACTTTGGTCGTCCAGATGCTATAGTCGTGGTTGTGAGTCACTTTGAACAAATCCAAGTTGAAGACAAGGGTGTCTTACAAGATGGCGTAGAAGATACGCGCAGCAAGAACAAGCTTACTGCCCAGCTCTCGATTCGCGATCTCCTTCTCTGTCAAGCCGATGGTGGTGGTATTGTTGGTCCCCAAGATGAGAACGAAATGCACGAGGACCATGCGAATCAGCAAGGGAATGACGCTGATCATCATGACCTTGTCCTCGGTGAAAAAGCGCTCGACGCGAATATAACGACCACATAGGCGCACGACGATGATCACCAAGGAGAATATGGTAGCCCACCAGCTCATCATGAGCGTCGGATTGATCTCAGATCTGCTCTGTATGGCCGGCAGATTCTCGGAATAAATGCCACGTGCGACTAGCGACACGGCGCTGGAGGCCATGGAGGCCATGATGCGAAATCAGCAGTCTCGCAGAAAGCGATTCAGAATGTGCTTTTACATTGCTCGCACGTGGGAAAGTGTGGGGATGTTTTAGCTGGTTATGGGGCGAATTGCGGAGACTAGGGATGGAAAGTGACGATCTTGAGATGGGAGAGAGATGTGTTCTCAGGTACGATATAACGGTCGAGGGAGATAGGGGCAATTAATAATAAGTCGCTAAACCTTGTCAACTCAAGGCCAAGTGGAAGAGGGGAAATATCAAGGATGACAAGATAAGCGAAGCCTCCGTATAAACAGCCAGTGAGGTTCGACTGGCTAATCTGGGAGATTCATACTTTTTCAACGACTTGATAGATCTGGGTGAATACATCGAACAAAGAATACAATAATCCCTTTTAGCATGACATTGTTGACCCTGGCACACAATATTCCTCCAATGAGGGCGATCTTGTATAGTTACGGTGTACACGTGGACGATTACCACTTTGATAGATGCCGTACTACGTTGCATCGACAGGGTATAAAAGGCACAATGTCCCCGATAAGCGAGGAGCTCTAGAGAGTTCGCCCTGGACTTCTGTATTCCACGGAATCTCACGATTATCTACCTCCGGCCCTGCTCCGTCGGGGAATGTTATCTCCCAAAACCTTACCTCTAAATTAATCGCGCAACCCTCATCCAACCACAGCGGACGCCGAATCTTCCCGCTTTGCTTCATCGCGAACCGACTCGATTCCCGACCCAGCACGCAGCCCACCCAATACGGTCCGCAACTCCTGTAGGAACTTGGTAACCTCCGCCTCCGTACCGACGGTGATACGGAGACAGCCCTCACACCCAAGCTCTTTCCCACGGAAGCGGACCACTACACCACGCTTCTCTGCCATAGCCTCGTAAGCCGCAAGCGCAGTCACGTTACTCGGTCGGCCCTCGGCGTCCAGGATCTCCACGAGCAAGAAGTTCGCATCGCTACCGCCAAGGAATTGCCCCACACCGGGGATGGCCGGTAGTTCGCGGAGCAAACGATCGCGTTGAGCGATGATCTGCGAGCGGAAACTGTGCATCACTGCCATATTTGGCCCTGTGAGTGCCGCGGAGGCGAGCGCGCTTGTCGGGCTGGAGATGTTATAAGGCGCTTTGAGGCTGTTGAGCAGACGTGCGACCTCCGGGCTGGCGTAGGCCACCCCGAGGCGGATACCAGCCAGACCGAATGCCTTGCTGAGAGTCTGCATGACGACTAGGTTGGGCCATTCGGTCACCCACTCTGCCAAGCTGGAGCCTTCGGGCGCAAAGTCAATGTACGCCTCGTCGACCACCACGATACCATTCCAGGTCGGGTGCTCGAGTACCTTACGGATGTCCTCTTTGCGGATCAGGTTGGCGGTCGGGTTGCCCGGCGAGCAGATGTAGGCCAGCTTGATTGATGGGTCGGCTGATAGCGCCTCGTTGACTTTATCGGCTTGTAGGTGGAACCCGTTTGTAGTATCTAGTGGTACCTTGACGATCTCGAGGTCGTTTACCTGCGCGCTGACGCTGTACATTCCGTAGGTCGGGGGACATGTGAGGATCTTGTCTTTGCCGGGGACGCAGAAGCAGCGCAGTAGTGCGTCAATGGCTTCGTCTGAGCCAACGCCGCAGAACATGTGCTCGGGGAGGAGGGTCTTCGGGGTGTGGTGGTGGGTATTGCGGAGGTTGCAGAAGAGCTGCTTCAACTCAATCTGGTGACTGGGGACACATATTGTTAGCCAAATTGGCCTGAATGAGACGCGGTAGAATTTCACTCACGGATCGGGGTAGCGGTTCAGGCCGAGAAAGTCAATCTCCGGGTTGGAGGCTCCCGTGGCATTGCCAGTCTGGGAGGACTGCAATTCTCCCTTGCTGCCCAGGGCAAGACCAGGACCGAAGGCATTCTCGTTGGCGTCGAGGAGGACGTTCGTCCCATCATCTTTGTAGTCACTGACTCATTAGCTCGCCGATACCGGTAATTTGGAAAGGGCAGCATACTCTCTGGCGCATCGGTAGGGCTGCAATGCCAGGATATTAGGCCGGGCGCATGTGGCCAAATTAAACGGAGATTTTGAAGCCATTGTGGTGACCTTGGGAGGAGTGTGAGGTGTTGAGCAAAAGTTGGTGGGGTGCTCAGGTGGGTGGTTTTATCGGAACTCTATGAGTCAAATGCCGATCTATGCGTGTATATCTTCCAAGGTTCTTATGAGATTCCACATTTGCATATCTTTACAAGTCCAATGGTATTACAGACATTACGATACTACAATGTCTTCTAAATATATTTTCACTGCTGAGAACACAACGCGGGGTAGGTGCTTTTGTTAGTTTCAGCATGTTTTGGGGAAAAGACATTCATATGAACTATATCTTTAATTCTTTCTAGGTGACAAGAGGTGGTCAGTCAGTGAAACAGACATAGGTCAATGCCCTTCGAGATCCTACAGGATAGGACATGGTATGAGAACGCGGTATAACAACAGTGCATGTAAACAATTACCAAGCTACTCTTTCTCTCAACAGCAAGGCTCTGAAGCAAGAAGCAAGCAGCGTTAGGTGCATGAAGATACAATCAAGTAAGTAATGTCACTCTGCCATTCAAGTCTTTCTGAACATTCGCTTCCACAATCGCTTATTACCACCCTGGCCGGGCTGAGGTTGGCCCTGCGTTTTCACCTGGGGTTTTCCCACCACTGGCAGTAAAAAGAAAGCCTCCGCCATCTGGATGACACAAGCCGGGTTATTGTCATACAGTTTCTTTTTGAAATCCTCGACAAAGCCTTGTCTCTCTCTCGCAGTATAGTTGAAGCCTCGTTCCCTTGAACAACAATCACACGTTGGCGTACAGTGTCCAATGCCTTTGTTTCTTTCTGTTCTTTCGTGGCGATCATGACAGCATCCACAGTCTCGACTACAGCCACCTCTCTTCATGCAATTTTCGACTAGTTCTTTCCGGAGATACCAAGTTGTATATTTTCGTAGGTATCATACGACCGTTTGATGGGCCAATAGGAAGCATTGTTTCGGCAAGGTAAAGCTTGTACTCGGCCTCGCTATATTGCCGGAGTAGAATTGTAAGCTCCTGATTATAATATTGTGCTGCTTTATCTCCATATTTGTCGGCTGCTATCTTTCCTATAACCCGAACTTTGCGCTTTAGGGATTTTTCTTGTTGGACGATTTCTCGGAGACGATATTCGGCTATTATTATATCCACAAAGACGGCGATATTGAAAGATCGGGTGCCATAATGGAGTATGCGTAGTTGTTCTTTTCCATGAGCTGGGGCTTTTGCGTAGTGTGCGTCAGGCACCAATCTTGTCCCTTCAAACATATTGCGAGCACCCTGCCTGATCATGCTGACAGTTTCGAAAAGTCAAGGAGTAAGGAGAAGAAGAATGGAAAAGAAAGAGAATGACATATAAACAGACGCCTAACTAGGTGAATATCCGGATGACAAGAGGCGCTCCCAAATCGGGTCTAGATCAAAGCCTAATCGGTACATACCTCGGAACATCCATCAGGTAGGCGAGCAGCTTCCAACGCTATAGAGGGGAAATCTGGAAAGAAGACCTCCACAAAAATATGAGAAGGCCGCATAAGTGAACGATCATGTCCGATTCTTTCAGATCTTTAATGATCAATCTATGATTACATAAGCATGATCTCCGGCCCCGGGGCCGAGGTCGGCCCTGCATCCAAGATAGGCAATTTTGAGACCTCAACTGGGTGAAGGAAGTCAAAAAAACAAATGTGCTCAAGAAATCAAGCGTCCAATTTTTTTATCTCACCTTGCTCCTTTTAGCACATTTATATCAACGCCTACAAGCTAGACACACAATTGCTTATTCCGCACATTTCCGATTTTATCAGCTCAAAAGCCGCAAAATTCCTCTCACTGGGTTTTATGCAGGTCCTTTGATATTGGTGGCTCTAGCGTTCGTAATGAACGAAATGGCCCTAAAAGGACCATCAATTTTACCGGTGGATATCATGGAATCTCAATTGTCCACGATTGACCTCCTAATGGCGATGTTCCCGTCCCCGGGCGAGCTGGAAATCCCCGAATCCACAACGCAGTGTGTTGAGAAACTCCGCGACTGGTGCGAGAATCCGACCTCCACACCTCCCAGAATTCCCTCAAGCCTCTCTCTCACCGTCTGCCTACCAATTGCAGACGGAGACAGAACAATACAAGTCAACATTTCCGTGCCACTGCAATGTGATAATCCAGAGACACTGGATCAATCACCGTCATTGGGCTATTCACTTCGACAACCAGAATGGATGTCCAGAGCCGAAGTTGCTGGACTTACTGCCTCAATACCGCAAGGCGATGATGCTCTAGAGGCATTCGAATATATCCAAGCAGAAGCCAGCCGCTTTCTTGAAAGCAAGCAGTCTCAGACCGTGGCCCTAGAAGACACATACAGGGGGCCAACTGTCCGAGTCTGGTTCTATTTTCCATCCCTGTCAACCCGTAAAAAGAGGGATGACATGGTCAACCTCGCGCCGGGATATGCTCTGACAGGCTTTGTGCTGGCGGGCAAGCCGGGCGTATTGTGTCTTGAGGGTGCTTCGCCTGATATCGACTCTTATATGAGTTTCATCAAGACACATTCCTGGGGTGACATCCCTAGCTATCAGAAAAAAGTCAGTGAGAGGTTTCGAGAGACAGAAGGTGTCCAGAGAGTGTTTTCGGGGATGGAGGAAATTACGGACTCGCTCGGAGAGCGAGGTGGTCAGCGGGCCAATCGGGGTGATATGCAAGCACTGGAGGCGTGGTTGGGGAGTAGAGGACTACAAGAAGCATTTGAAAAAGTCATATTCTAATATATTCCATTGAACAAGTCTGTTTCAATAATCTCAACCGAGATTTCATCATGACTGTGGCGTAGTAGTAGCTGGTTGATATCTTTTGCAGCTTGATACCACAATTTTGTCTGGCGTTGGTTTGGTATTCTGAGAGAGAAAGGAAGTCCAGGTGGGGAAGTAAGGTCATATCTACCTGAGGCAAACAACGGTCTCAAAAATAAAGAATGAGAAGATGGAGAATAGCAGGAGCACAAATCAGCATTGATAAAGTACAATCGGTTTGAGGAGCGGTCTCATACTTACCTAATTGGGAGAGAGAACCTGCCTTACCTAGACCATAATAAAAACCAAGGTTCCGGGCCATATTCGGTCATTCATTGTTCATTGTCCATTGTTTACCCTAAACATTTGTAACCCACCGAACGATTTCTCAACTCATCAACTAACATCCATTTGTCCATTTTGCTTTTAATATACCCTCGTCTAATCGAAATGCCTCCTGACTTCTCCACATTGAGGCATCGTGAGCGCCAACGGGCCGCAGCCTACTTACAGGCTCGCAGTGAAGTCATTGCCGCTATCGACGCGATTTATAAGCGGGTCGAAATCTACAGCTCTGCCCAAATCAACCCCGCCTCCTACAGGTCTCTTGGTATTGATTACCGATTGCTTGAGCTAGATGATGATGGGAAACATCTTCAGCCCCCAAACTCCGATCCCTCCACCCCGATTTTCTTCGAGCCTCGAGGTGCAACGTGGGTGGCCCCTGTTCGTATTACTGATGTCGAATGTGAGGGCGATCTAAGGGCAATCACCGACGGATGGGAGAACGCCAAAGACAACCCACTAGTCCAGAGCTTTCATGCCCAGGTCTGGTATGTCTATTTGGGTTTGGAGCGGATGTTTTTCCAGTTCCGCCGAGAGTTCTACCCTGAAGGAGATAGCAGAGTTCCACCTAACCTTAGGCAAATATCCAAATGGCTGAAGAGGTAAGAAATCTACCGCCTTTGCGATACGATTGGGATACTAACTCACGTACGCTTTATAGTGGAACTATTGTACCATCTGTTTTTGCCGAAAGATTTTACTCGGCTATCTGGGGATCAATGCGATGGGCACCGGCATCTGCCTTTGTGCCGAAGAAACTGTTATATCCTGGAAAACCGCATACTCTAATCATTATTTTGATTCAAGAAGAACCCAGCGAAGAGCTATCTCGCGCAGAAATGATGACCCTTACCGCAGCCATGATCACGCGTCTTGGGGGAGAGGAATGTTTAGAATATAACACTATTCCTGTGAGTATGGATTTAAGATCTATATACTTATCTTTCATGCAAGCTAATATATGTTAACAACATAGGTTATGGCTATCACGATTTTTGGAAGAATGAAAGCTCGAGTACTCGAAGCCCATTCTAGCCAGCAAGAGCTAGTCGTCAAGAAGACCCAGCTTCTTGATTTCTCGACAAACCAAGTCGCTAACAAGAACATGAATATTCTGCTTGGATTTATGGCTGGTGACCTGGTCGGAGATCCTAGAGGACCGACAGTTCCTACGGATATTTCGTTTCTGGGCTTGAGCCATCGTTCTAAGTCCTCGCAAACCAATCAGTAAGACACATGAAAGGGGAGGTCTGGGATTAACAGAAATGGCCTCATAATAGTGAGCTACAATACCTGACCAAAAGTGGAATACAGAAGAATTTCGAGAGATTTATGATGGGTGAGGGGTGGGTTGTAAAAGAGTAAGGATGAGCTTAGCTAGGAATTATATTGCGGTGCCCCGGTGATGAAAGCCGAATTTAACTGATGTGGGTATATGACGGGTACAGTCTACTTGATAGGAGGGGATACCAGCTGAGTGACTTCTGTTACGATCAAGGGTCGTTGGTTCCTTCCCCGTAGGAATCGTGCCTTCCTAAGGCGGAAGCGAGCGTACCTGGTTTTGCATGATTTGCAAGGGAAGGGTATAAAATAATGATTTATTTTAAGCGGCATACGGCAGCTAGCTGAGCAACGAGATGAGGAATCAAGGCCAGCGTTATATATCGGAAATTGTTACAGGGACCCCCCTATTGCTAATGCGACTCCCCCTGCCTGATTTTTCGGATTCGGCTTACCGCCCTCTACACCGCCTTATTGTCGAACTCCTTAGCAAGACGGTAGATACCTACAATTTGTATATAAACCACTAACAAACTTAAGTCACTCTTATCACATCAACTACTTCATCGTCAACAACTAGTACTGCAACAACTGCTCCAAAAACTGCTCCAAAAACCCCTCTATCATTATAGAGAGATTAAAACATGTAGGTATGAGATAAAATACACGTTTTTTTCTGATCAAAACGTAAGGTTTTTTTGACTATGTAAACCAGAATTCAAAAGTGCAGAATTAAGTCTGGCAAAATTGAATTGATGCTTGATTAGTAAGACAAAATACTGAAAAGTCAGGCAGACGGGTCGGGCGAATTAGAAAGAAGAAAAAAATAAAAAAATAATTGAATCTGTATAGTTTAGACAAATGAAAGGCTCTATGTAGTCCGTATGTATCGGGTCCAATAAAAATTCCCTGCTGATGCACAGATACCAGATACATCATCGATGATTTTGATATATGGGTCACAAAAATCCACAACGCCTCCATATGCCACATGTCTGCAACTTAGGGCTTTTGGTCAAATATACTCGAGTCGCCTATTCTGCCTTTGTCTCCTTCGGCTCCAATGTCTTCGGTGCTTCGGCGGGCTTTTTCACCACAGCGGGGGGTTCGGGTGCTGAAGGGGCTGCCATCTGAGAGTGCTTGTGCTTCTCGCGTTTCTCCATAAGGTAAGTCCAACTCTTACTAAGGCCTGCCGTGAACGGTGCCTTGATCGTCTGGACAGTACTTGGCCAGCGGATTGTCTTCTCAATGGTCTTGGAGACCTCCTCCTGAAGATCATCATCTCCAGCAATCCGTCGCTCAAACGAACCGCCTTCAGGCCGGCGAAGAACCTCGTCCGAATCCTTGCTCTCCTGCATCAACTTATTGAAATCGGCCCGGGGGATACCAAAGCGAGACTGGTACTGGAAGTACAACTTTTGCCGGAAAGCTTCAGGCAGACGACGAACCATGTTACCACGCATCACGGGGTCCATATCTTGCGCCATGGCTAAGATGGCGTTCGGGTCATCGATCCAATCCTCGTTGCTGCAGCGGGGGTCCTGGAAAGTGACATTGGGCAAATTTTCGATGAGCGGTGCGTAAAGCCGGCGGAAGTTCGCCATTTGTCCTGAAACAATCTTTCGCACCTTGCCGGGGTCCTCGGCGGGGAGGCTCATGCGTAGATCTCCCATGTAGCTCATACCTGCGATTGTGGTATATAACTCGAATTCACTGAATCTCTCTGGCAGTAACAGCAGTGCAACACGCAAAGCAGACAGCAAGTTCATTTGGTTGGCCAATCGCACCTTCGGGTGGTCACGCAAGATCTTGACGGGCTTCTGCAGACGACCGGCGAGATACATGGTGTCCCACTGGGTGAGGTCTCGACATAACGTATCTAGGTTCACCACACCATATTTGATCATTGTCCCGTTCACGGTGATATAAGGATGGAAGTAGACACCCGCGCCAAAGCGGTCCTGTACCTGAGAGACCACGTACGACCCCAGCAAGCCTAATGCAGAATAATGATCACGATGCTGGTGTAGATTGATATCATGCCAATGCTGGGAGTATGACACTCCGAAAATGAAGTCAATCATCTTCCCGGAGCCCTTTTGCATATTTTGGATGGCCGAGGGTGCCGAGGGGTGCAGTGAGCTGGATGGCACCCCGCTGCCAGTCTGCGGAAAGACACCCGATCCATAGGCAAATGCGTAGCGAATTGGTGCTCTGAACTGCCAAAGGATCATTCGCAATGCCTCCTTGAAATCTTGGTTTATGACCATATGCTGGTTGACTCCGAAGTCCTTAGAGGGAAGTTCCGAGAAATTGGTAATTGACAAGTTCGGATTTTCGTCCCAGTTCTCGGGTAACAGCAGAGAGGATGACGTCGAGAAGGAGGAGGAGGATGACTTGTTGGTAAACACCTTGCATAGCAGATGCGAAGAGCTGGTATTTGCCGAGGGCCGGCCATTGTAGGGGGTAATTGGATTGCAATTGAATGACAGGAAGCGAGTCGAAGAAGGAACAATACGTCGGGACGAGCGAAGGGTGCGGCGAAGGGTGCGAGGGCGCCAGAGAGAGCTGGGGTTAGCTCCTCGGGAAGCAACCATCTAACAGATAAGTTGTAGCGGGATCATCGGGTACGGTAGGGGATCAGACATACTGTTACTCCCGGCATGATTAGGGTTGAGGCGAAAGGAATCGAGGGGTGTAGCGCAATTAATTAAGTCAAGTCAACGAGCCCGCATATAAAGCAAATGAGTGAGTGAATTGAAGTGAAATGAATTTGGACGCCCCCCGTCAACATTTCCGGCTCTGACGTACTCCCCGTCCCTCTCCGCTTCTAATTCGGGTGCTGAGTCATGGTCACGTGGACGCGTGTCGAAGGATGCATAACAACCAAAAGTAAACAGACGCGGAGGATCAACAACCACGACTCTTTCGACAAATTCGCCTACTTCCCCGACGAAGGGTTGCTTTAAATGTTGGGCATTAGTACCAATTGTATCTGACCTCCCTGATACCTCGCCATGGGCTCTGAAATGGATACCTTTGCGGCCCGCCTAGCCAGCTTCGATTTAGTGCTGAAGCCGGAGAAACGCAGATCTTCCGGCACAAAAACACCCAAAGCGATTACATGGCCGCACCAGCGACCTTCACCAGCTGAGGTATGTCATTCTTCGAAGAGATTACACGCGCCATTTAAGATGATTGACTTGGCGGGATTATAGTTGGCACACGCTGGATTCTACTACAAACCATACGAGACAAATCCCGACAACACAACATGTTTCGAGTGCCACCGGGCGCTGGATGGCTGGGAGGAGGACGACAATCCCATCACAGAGCATCTCAAGCATGCGCCCGACTGCGGATGGGCCATCATGATGGACCTCCAACAGAGTAGCTCCAACCCCGCCTCGATTGAAGACCCTACGGGCGACCGAATTACGCAAGCGAGACTGGCAACATTTGGTACAGTGTGGCCTCATGACGGGAAAAAGGGCTGGGTATGCCAGTCGGAGAAGGTAAATCGTGACTTCACCGTATTCATATTATTTTGGCTCACAACAATGACAGATGGTAGAAGGCGGATGGTATTTCTGCCCTACAGACGAGAGCAATGACCTGGCCAGTTGTGTCTATTGCAAGTTGTCTTTGGACGGTTGGGAGCCCAAAGACGACCCATTGTGAGTATCCATCGCTCTTTCTTAGTTGGACGATTGCTGACTTCCCCTAGTGACGAACACTATCGCCGCTCCTCGGATTGTTCATTCTTTGTCTTCGCCCAGCCACCAGGAAAGAAGAGCAAATCCGCTCGTGCTAAGAAACCTCGGGTTTCCAAGGCATCCTCCCGGCTCTCAACCCAGTCCGTTGGTTCAGTTGCATCCGAAGCGCCCGATATGGAAGTAGATGACCCGATGGGCCAAAGCATCATGTCCCAATCCAGCACAAAATCCAAATCTACGAAGAAGGCACCGAAGAGCAAATCAAAGGGGACCAAGACTAAGAAGGAAGAACCAGCGGAGGTGGAAAGCCAAATTGAGGCCGAAATTGAAGAAGTCGCCCAAACAGAGCCTGTCAAACCTAAACGTGCAGGCAAAGGAAAGAAGAGGACCAGTGAGGATATCAAGGATGAACCAAACCCAGTTGCCATGGAGGAAAAAGAGCCATCGCAGCCGCCAGCAGAACCTCCAGCGAAGAGACGCGACACAAAAACACGCAGCAGCAGCATTACTCGCAGCTACAATTATGAACACAGTGACTCTGCAATGGCAGACGCAAGGCCGATGGATGAAGCTACTTCGGAAGAAGAAACCACGAGAGGTCGCAAGCCCACGAGAAAGAGAGCGTCCAAGACCCGCAAGGTCTCCGATGTTCCTGTTGCATCAAAAGCCCCGTCAAAGGCGCGAGCTCCTCGTGACTCCGAGATCGAAGCGGAAATCGAAGCAGGCCTCGAAGCTGATATCCCCACACCTGCCGAACCCGAGCCTGAGATCGAGGCTGAGCCAGCAGAGCCACGGGCGTCGAAGAAGACAAAATCGAGCAAAAAGTCCAAGGCTGTGGCTAGAATTCCCGAAGCGACCCTGCATAATCAAGTAGAAGATGTCAGTGATCGCGAGGACCGTTCAGATCCCCACGTGGAACCGGTTGATGATGAACCGGAGGCGCCAGCCCCAAAGACCAAGCTGGCAAAAGGATCTAAGAAGAAGGGGACAAAGAAAACCAAGACCGAGGAGACGATAAAAGCACAGTCGCCAGAGCCTCGAGAATCCTTAGGGCTCAGGGGTCCCGATGTTCGGGGTGATTCCGAGCGTCATGACTCCTTCGTCTCCGTCGAGATTATTAGCAAGGAGCCGGAGAATGCACCGGAGCCCGAAGAACCAATCGCCAAGGCTGAATCGAAGAAGATTTCCAAGAAGAAGGATGGCACATCAACGAAAGAGAAGAAGTCCAAGAAATCCGAGAAAAAGGCGGAGCAAGCTCCTGTTCTTCAACCCTCAGTCGAAGAACATCACGCCGAACCGTCAGTCGAGGAACAAGACGATGAATTCGAGACTACAGACGATTTGCCTGACCAGCTTGAGATAGTCAACCCTTCCCAAGAGCCTTCTTCCCCTCCACAACAAATGTCTCCCGAGCCACAATCTCATATTAAGACACCCAGTCTACCGCCAAAGACTGCCAAACGGTATAGCGATATCCCACACGAAGAGCATCTTGCGGAGACCTTAGTCCAAAGCCAGATCTCCCCTCACGAAGTGCATGAGCCTCGGCGGAATTCAAACCGCTCTAACCGGGCCGTTTCACCACTTCCTCCAGCCCACCAAAACACTCCCTCGCCGTCACCCCAGTCATCAGATGCAGAAAACCGGCCGCCATCGCGGCCCTCAGCATCCCGTGCACCAGTCCAACCAACACCCGAGCAACCTGAGTTCCGAGTCCCCCTGGCAGTTAGTACCCCATCGCCATCTAAGCGCAACGCCAATGATGGATTCGGACCTTCTGGCCATCCATGGACACCGGTGGATATTGATGAAGTGCTGTTTGAAGAGGCTAGCGAGAAGGAAAACGCAGATTTATCCGGACTGTTCAGAGGCGCGAAAGCCAGCTTGACTAGCCCAGAGAAGAAAATGACAGTCCAAGAATGGATCGCGTGGAACGCAAAGAATGGCGAAGAACGACTGAAGCGAGAATGCGAGCGACTTGTCAGCCAATTCGAGAAGGAAGGTGGCCGAGCAATGCGACGGCTCGAAGCTATCGAGTGCATCGACTAATCAACAGGTACGCTATGTTTTTGGATGATATGATTTGCATGTTAGGCGTTATGCTGGGTGTTGGGGAACCCTTGTCAGATCTTTAGCTCGCAATTTGAATTTTGAAAGTGCCATTATTGCACATGAAGAACATGATCAGTAAAACATGATCAGTAAAACAAAGCCTGGGAAATATGCCAAAACACCATGGGTATCAAGAATAGAATGCGCGCCCGAGAACAACACTCAACAAATGATCCCCAACCGGCCCTCCCAGCTATCATCCTCCTTCTTAACCTTCTCCTTCTTCCGCTTCTCAGTGCGCTTGCGCCTCTTCTCCTCCCTCTCTTTGGCATCAATCTCCTCCCGCTCCTTGAGCCGCACCCCCAGATCAAGCTGCCAAGCCTTGCGCTCTTCCTCGTCCCTCTGACGCTTCCGATGCGAAAGCATCCTCAATCGCAAGCGCACGTCCTCAACATTCGCCCTCTTCACCTCGCCACTCTGCCCCGTCGCAATCAGATGCTGCTTGCTGTTCAAGTGCTCCACAAGCTGCAAGTTATCCTTGTAGGTAAGATCACAGTCCTTGCAGTAAAATCCAGCGCCGAGGCCGCGTTTGCCCATCCCCGAGCCTGCGGGCACAATCATCGTCTTGCCCACCATGGACGCGACGTCCAGGCGCTGATTGCGGGCTGTGGTATCCTCGAGCGAGCTGTAGTCGACTGGTGCGTGGTATTTCTTGCCCAGTAGCTTCGCTTCGTAGCGGGCTTTGCCTTCGGCTTTGCGCTTTGCTTCATCGTCGGCGGCTTTTTTGGCGTATTCTTCGCGGTCCCAGGTTTTGCGAAAGGCCGTGTCCGACACCGGGGTGCCGTAGGAGTTTGGTCCTGACATCTCTGTGGTTGATGTGGGTATTTGTTTTGGGGAGATGTAGTGGAGGTTGGTGAGTGGCGGATCTTTAAAAGTTGAAGGTCGGTTTGAGGCCGATATGGAATATTACATAAGCGATCCTAATTGGGCAGGTGAGGTTGGAACAGGAGTACTTAAGTGGCTCAACACACAGCTTGTCTTTGTTCCAAGTGTTCCAAGGCTGTTTATTATATCAAGATGTCCTAGCATAAAGAAATAGTTATTATCTACAACTTGTGCTTATTAAATACGATAATATGTAGGATGTAGGTAAGTAGGAGGATCTTATCATCACCCATTCAATCATATGAGACTATATATACATCCATAGCCTCTTGGAGGCTGAAAATAGGCAGCTGTTTTGGAATAATCAAGTACCATTTGATGATTGCATCGGGGTAAATAGCTCCAACTAGTAATCAGTGTCGGTGGATTCACTTTCAGGCAGCAGTTTTCGACCCGCATGTATAAGATGAACAATATCACCACGTCGAATGTACACAATTGAGCCGCAAAGAACTCGGAAAATGTCTAAAAACATGGAGACATCCCAACACCCTTGTTCTCAGCCCACCAGCGCTAACCTAATGACTCTCCCCTCGGAACTCCATATCCAAATAAGCACCTACCTTTCCTATCCGGACGCCCTAGCCCTCAAACACAGCAACCGTCACTTCTACTCCTTAGTCTTCACAGGTGTACGCCTGAAAGTTGCCTGGCTCGTCGAGCGGTTTAAGTGTGGACTCGAATGCCCCATGGAGAAGTGCTCGTTCAGTACTGACGAGTCTTTTTGCAATGGGCGTGTGCGCGGCATTATGGAGCGCCGTCGGTGGCATCTTGAGTGTCGTCGGGTTAGGAATGGTTGTCTGCTTGTTAATGGCCAGACTTGCCCGTCGCATTCGGTGCCCGCTTGGCTCAAGGTTAGGGGACAGGCCAAAAGGAGAGTTGTCAAGGCAATGGAGAGCTGGGGACATGAAGGTTTGTTCCCTCTTTGGTTCTATCTTATTCTCGTCTGATAAAGATATGAGCTGATATTGTGTTGCATAGCCTTTATGATTGGCATTATGGCCGTTCTGCTGAACTTATTGTGGCATTTTGCCCAGAGGTGAGACATTGTCTTATGCTTCCTTGCGTGCGGTTTGAAGACATCGTTAATTGAACTCATCAGAAATTGGTACCTCGACAGCAGATTGAGAGGACACTATACGACTACTCATTGAGTGATGATTCAACTGAGTTCGGGTGTCAATTGACGATCAGCCACGAATTGGTGTATGGACGAACCATCGGTCGCCATAAGAAACAAATCGCCAAGCAATCTAGCAACACGCTCACAAAAGATCGCTACACAACAGCGTCTTCAGCATCTTCAATGAGCATGATGATGTAATGGAGCTTCGCAGAATATTCGATGCGGAGAATCGAGTTAGACCCTGACGGTAATGCATCATCAGGAGACACATCAGGAGACATATTCTCACAGATTCAAAGCTGTGGAGACATAATCTCTGAAAGCAAGCTTCCTAGATGGTGTGATGCGTTGAACTACCTCATCTTGCGGGGAATCCTAGCCCTAATCCGGATCTTATCGGTGACGTCATGTTGACGACTACGCATAATCCCTACATGTATATAAGTTCTCTCGCCTCTATGTTCATCACCAACAATCTCTACTTTCCTCCACCCTTTCATTATTCGAAAATAAAACGATATGTCTACTACAGGTGCCACCATCAACACCACGACGGGTAACCACCCCGTGGACCCCTACAAGACCCAGAGCTTAGAAGACCCGCCTCTCCCTCAGAAGATCGAAGAGCTGGTTAAATTTATCTCCGATGTTAAATTTGGCATGTTGACAACCAAGCAGTCAGAGGGTGACTATTTGGCCTCACGATGTATGGCACTAGCCGCAACGGTATGAGCAGAGCCACAGATAATCACAATTCAAGGGCGAACATGCTAATCCATTACCCAAAATAGGAGCACGGCGGCGTTGACCTCATTTTCCACACAAATCTCTTCTCCGGCAAGACAATGGATCTTACTGTACACCCCAAAGAAACAAATATGTCCTTCCTCGACCCTATCAGCGGAGCCTGGGCCTCCATCTCCGGTACTGCATCAGTGATCGGTGATCCCGAAATCGTGAAGAAGCACTACTCGCCTGGACTTAGGGCATGGATTGGTGACATGGGCGATGGTGTGCACGATGGCGGACCCTCAGATCCCCGGATTGGCGTCATTAAGCTCGAGGCTAAGTTAGTCACGCATGTTGTTCCCCACAGGGGCCTGCTTGGGCGTGCCTATGAAAATATTAAGGGTGCCGTGGAGGGTACCGTTCCTAATGTCAACGGCATTCGAGAGTTGAGTTTGGAGGAATTGGCCGAGTGTATGTTTCCTTTCTCTCCTTTTTCATCTTTGAATATGTGCCACGGACATGCTAACTGGTCTCTGTAGGGCGCGCGACGCATCAGGAATAAGTGTATATTACTATTGAAAAAGAGTACGCCTTTTTGGTTAGGAGGTATATAACGTTTTGAATGGAAATAAAATGAATATATTTGAATGCATATGCCCCTCCCCTAAACGGTCTTTCTGCTTCGTATTGTTCACTGTAACCAGTCTATATCGACTGAGATCTAATCTGAAGACGTGGGTAAAAAGCCGACTTTTATAAGTTACTCGGCGCTCTTGCTGGCCTCGTAGCCCGGAGGTACGCAAGAGCCCTTCCGATGCTCGGGTACGAGTTCCAATTTTGTTTTCAGCCCAGCCAGCCACATTGGTCCGTACCGGGACACGGCCAGAACATCATCACCGTCACAGACTGTAAGCTTTAGTGTCAACCAAACGTGACCAAACCTATTCGGCGGCATCACCGCACCGGAGCACCCATGTGTACGGCTAAGCGAGTAACCATCTAATACAAGCAGAACAACTATCCACTTTGCAGCTATAAACGGTGCTGCGGCGTCTATGCTGTTGGCGCTGCTGTTTCTGGTTTAATGCTTCAATGAAAACTGAACAGTGGAAATATGGGACTCCCGTTCTGGGCACATAGGATGAATCTGATATTCAACAGGTCCCTTGAAGGCAAGATAAAGAGGGGAAGCTTCCAAGCTCAGGTAGGATGTTATATTATTCTATTACTAGCCGTGGTAATATCATTCAGCCAGGGGGGAAAGGCCAGCTGACATGCAAATAAGAGACTAAATATTCCACCAGGGCATAAGTCTCTCATTGGGTATGCTCAACGGCAGACATACCTCAAGTACTCCGTGGTCTAGCGGAGATTGTGCCGTAGCCCTCTTGCTGATATCAGAACAAACAAACATTATGGCATCACACCGAAGAATGACGGTTGTGAAACAAGTCGGCCGGAAATAAGAGACGCCGTTCCTGTTCTCATCATCACGTTACCATTTACAGATTTAATTAAGCGAGCCTATGTCGTTGTTTGTCTCATTTGTGAATAGTGGCAGAAGCCTACCGCCCTTAGGATAACTATAAGAAGATGACCCTGCCCCCAGAACTTCTTTCTTTTCTTTCTTCTTCAGCTCTCTTTGTCTCTGGCTTAGATCAAGTGTAGTATCTGTTCTATTAAGTTTAATCGCTGAATGGTCTGCATTGCAGAACGTCATGATTATTCCAATATTTGGACCTCGCGACTTGGCCTCTGTGCTTGCACATGCTTCGTTGCACAGTGCCATTGGGCTTACACTACCCCCGATCGACGCGAACTCCTTTTCATCAACTATTCGGCTTGTCCGGGCGCTTGGAGAAGATCTCTGTTCGTCTTTGTCCAGTGGTTCCATTGATTAGTTATTGTTCCGATCAACTCACCGCCTTCTTGAAGCCTGAAAATACTGGCTGGCAATATTAACCAATGAAAGAGTTATGCCGCAATTGCATACCACCCGTACGAAGTAGCACCTAGTAGGTACAATGTCGGGTCAGTCGGCAGGCGTGATCCCTGGGCTGAGTGACATCTAGCTGAGATAGAAAATGGTAGATCTAGGATTAAGCAAATCCTGTTAATTACATCCATAAAAATTATCAAAAAAAAAGATATAGCACGACGGCTGCATGATTCGAACATGCGCCTCCGAAGAGAATTGATTTCTAGTCAATCGCCTTAGACCACTCGGCCAAACCGCCGTAATTATTAATAGTAACTTCCGAACTTTGGCTCTATAAACCAGAGATAATAAATGTACTATCAATAGTCAGTTGAATGCAGTCAGCGAACCGTACGTAGTCTTACTATAATTTCATGAATACCGAAGAACTCTTATTATCTCACTATCTCTGGTATATCCTACTACCCCTCAATTTCCCACATGTTGGACTGGAAATCTGTAATGTTTATCTACCCCCGAGGCAATCCAAGGGGAATTTGTACAAAAAATACTACCGATTTTGGACTTAAACACCTTGCCCAAGTGCTCACCCTTTCACTCAATCAGTATCAGCATCATCAAAGAACTCATCCCAGCTGTACGTCGGCCCGACACAGTAAGCATTCCCAGCAACCAGCTGGTCGCTGCATTTATCCGGACCCAGAGAAGGGTTCACATCCAAGAATAAACTCCAAGGAATCTTGCTCTGTATGCATATCGTAGCGCAGGTTTCTTGCAGCGCTTCATTTGTGACAACATGCCACTTGCCGCAACGAGTTGTCGTCCCTTCAGCAACAGTTGAGTTTTTAGGGGGCTCGATTTGCGGAATGACATAGCCATCAGCGGAGCCGGGTGACGTTGGATCATAAGGCGGGGCAGTGGCATTCGAAGCACCAGACTGCGGCGTGAGGCAAATGACATGACCATACGCGACATCACTGACAATATGAAGATTGGAGCAATCGTAGTTGATCCATGGATTGTATTTGCGTAATGTCGTTCCATCCTTGTATCCGACGCCTTGTGCCTTCTCGATGGATGTACAGCTGTCCTCGCCTTTGATGGTGTAGACGGTCTCGCATTGGATTGGCATGCACAGCTTTGTGCCGACTTGGATATCCTTGCATTCGAACAAGTTGTCGTGTCCTATGAACAGGGCGGCTGAGGAGACTTTGTACTTGGTAGCAATCGAGTCACAGGTATCGCCGGCCACGGTTGTGTATTTGATGCCAGATACGCACGAGTCTGCAGGCTTGTATGGATCAATTGTTGGTTGCAGGGGATCGGGAATATCAGTAGGAATATTGAGGTTGCATTTTGAATTGATGTATTTGAGTTGGGATTGGAAGTGGATGTCGTATGCGGAGTAGGGTGTTGATTCATTGATCTCTTTCATGTCTACTCATGATTTTGATGGTATAGATCTGGACTGGGAATACCCCGAAGCCGACGACCGTAACGGAAAGCCAGAAGACTTTAAGAATTTCCCAAAGTTCATGGCTAGGCTGAAAAACGAACTGAAAAAGACCCCTGGACGAAGCGAACTCTCCATCACGCTACCGGCATCCTACTGGTATCTCCAGCACTTCGACCTCAAAGAGCTTGCTAAGCATGTTTCATTTTTCAACATCATGTCATACGATCTGCACGGCACCTGGGATCAAGGGAATAAATGGACGGGTGCGTTCCTCAACGCTCATACAAACTTGACAGAAATCAAATCTGCTTTGGAGCTGCTTTGGCGCAATGATGTGAAAGGAGACCAGGTCGTCATGGGTCTCGCATTCTATGGCCGTTCATACACAACCCAAGGCTGTGTAGAGCCTGGATGTGTGTATGCCTCCGGAGGTCTTCCAGGGCCATGCAGCAATGAGGCAGGCATCCTTCTCAACAATGAAATTATGGATATCATCCATGACAGAAAGCTGGTGCCAAAGCTGTACAAAGAGGCCACGGTCAAGGTTGTCACTTGGGATGATCAATGGGTCTCTATGGATGATCGAGAGACTCTAGCCAGGAAGGCCAATTTTGCTCGTCAGCAATGTCTCAGCGGGTTGATGGTCTGGGCGATCAGCCATGACACTTCAACGGCAGACTTTTCACGTGATCTAGCAATGGTGTCAAACCGCCAAGTGTTGATGCAACGAGCCGAAATTGACACCGATATCATCACAGAAAGGACCAACCATAAGCAATGCCACTGGACCAACTGTGGAGATAGCTGTCCCGCAGGATGGCAAATGATCAGACGCGAAGACGATTGGAAGACAACGAATCCTGAATACATGATAGATGATACCCACTGCGAGGGACATGGCTCGCGCTCCTGGTGTTGTCCTCCTGACGCCGAACTCCCAAAGTGTGGCTGGTATAACTTCAATAGAGGCAATTGCAAGCCTGGCTGTGAGGATGGAATGGTTGAGATTGGCTCGACAACAAACGGATGCAAAAAGGAAGATCAATACCAGTCGGCATGTTGCTCAGTGGAAGACGATTATGGAAATGGGTTGAGCAGCATGGCAGTCTACAATACCTGTGAATGGTCGAAGGAGAATCCCCAGTGTGACGATGGCAAGTGCTCTGGGTCAAAAAGCACAATCCTTGGACAGTCCGGTCAAGGGAGCGGTGATGTCTACTGTTATGCCGGGGACGTCTGGGGCGATCATTGGCCAAAAATTCAGCATACCTTACGGAAATACTGCTGCAACACATCATCTAAGAGCAACCGCTTTGAGAACTGCGAATGGCGAAATGACGTGGGTTTGCATTGGGTCGGCCAAAGTTGCTTCTCCGGATGTGACTCCAATCAAGTGCGCGTGGCGATGGACGGCTTTAACGAAGGCTGCTACAAATCCGGTGCCCGAGCATACTGCTGTGATGCAGTCAGTTACACGGAGACTGAGCGCATGTCTGATGACCTGCAAAAATTCAAAGATGCACTCATTGACTGGACAATAGCTGTGGAATGTACGAATTATTACTACTCCGCAACACCAGCCAAGTCTCTAAGTATTCGTGAGGACGATTGCGAGATCTTTGCGTCACATATACTTGTTGCCCACCTGGTTGAAATCCTCATGGGTTACGAGTCCAAGCAAACCACCCACTGGCAGCGCTTGGTCAATATCTGGAACGATGTCGTAAGCAACCAGCTCAAGAATTTGAACACCCGCATTATGCTTCCGTTCGTTTTCTCGAATACCTCATTTCCAGAGCTCCTCGGAAACGGTTATCAAACCACCGCCAAAAATATCCTAGATGTTCCCGATTGGTATGATAAACGATTTGGAAACAATGATTCGGGGATAACATGCTCGAAGAGCCTGTGCGACTATGAAGATGGATTCTGTGACCAGATCGACGAAGACGACGACGATATGTTTACCCGACGCGATCTCCAATGGCAAAAGGTTTGTCAAATGTCCTTGATGCATATATTCAACTAATTTTGAATAGGACAATGGACCTGCCCTACAGAAGCGTGCCAACGCCAACGCGATGAAATTCAGATGTATTGGTAAAGCCGGCGTGGAAAGAGTTTTGGCGTTCACCCGATTTGCTTATCCTGGCCCAAAGGATTGGTTACAACTCAAGGCCAAAAAGCCGGATCCAAAAAACAGGCAACGGTCAATGAAGCCGTCGACTACAATGATGATGAGGATTGCGGAGACACTGCTGTACAAGAACGACAAGCGACAAATGCGGAGCTCGACCCTCCAAAAGGAAATATACCCAAGTTCAACAGTAAGTGTTCCTAGCGAACGAAACCTTGGTAAATCACCGGCTAATAATGATGTAGCGGATCATCTCCTCGAGATCAAGTTGATTCCCAAATTTATGCTATGGGCTATTGTGGCGGGGAACTGTCCTGTTGATTGCGACTTCTTCATCGATTACTTCGGCGAAGATATCATCCCCAAGACTGCAGAAAAAACACCAGGAAACAACCTAATCCTCCAAAAGCCTATTGCGCGAATAATGGAGCAGCTTGGAAGTAAAACCAATTTCGATGTGTTCCGGTTGATGGACTCAGCTTTGAATGCAGTAAAAGGCGATGTAGGTCTCTGGTATTTTCAACCGAAGAATAGTGCTGACTTCTTTCGCCTAGCTCTGGAGTTTTGATCGCCCAGAAAATACTGCGTTTAATGATATCAGATGGCTGCCACTTGTCGACACTGATGACAGCTCTGAAGCTTTAACCTTGCTACGAAGCGTAAGTTGACCTTTCTTTGATTCCCCGGCTTATTTGCCCCTGCTGACCTGTTACCGACTCGCTGCAGGTCTTTTCCGTTTATAATTACCAAAATTCAGGCAATTTTCAGAAACGATTCAATATTGTCTACAAGAAGATTCGTGGCGAGTTAGATCTGGCAGCAACCGAATACTTCAAGCTTTCTGGAAATGCAGTTGACCTTGGGGAGTGTTGGGATCGGTTTTTCAAAATCCAAAAGGACTTGATGGTGAACTTTGGAAGGAAATTTGTTGAGAAAGGAATCGAAGATTTAGCCGCTCGATGGGCTAAGGATTCGAACAAGGAGAAAGCTGAGGTGATTAATCAGGTGCTGAAACGGTTGAGGGAGAAGATGGGGCAGATCTATATGAATGATTTCAAAGCAGAGTATCAACCATCATGGGAGTGATTTTGCCTGCTCGTCCAAGCTGGTCGGTATCGTCAGCCTGCGCGTCAAATGCTATTGGGTTTAGACATATGTGCCACCAGCGTTTACTTTCTTTCACATATCGGACTATCCCATCTAACAATTTTATCGTGAATTAAGAAGTCTAGGGCATTCCTCATTCACTTGCCAACCTCTCCTAGTCTCTAGTAAAACTCTCCGATCAAAATGATTATCCCATTCGACGGTTTGTGGCATTATTCACACCCATGTGTTACAGCTCATGAAGAAGATCGCACCTAAGTCATCCATGCCATCAAAAAGGCGTATAAGTGGACGGAAAGATACCCTTTGACACACATCAACGCCATTTCTTACATGTCTCTTAGTTTTGCTTGCCGAAGGGGGCCAAGGATTGGTGAACACGGATGGATAACTGAAGATATTAATAGAGCTCGAACTCTCTAATCCACTCCGCGCGCAGCTCGTCAAAATCCCTCCACTTGCCATCCATGCGATTCCCACCCAGCAGCCATACTTAGTGCAGGAGCTCTACGTCCAGCCAACCATATTGTCGGGGCACCGTTAAGTCTTCTATTCGTTGCTATTTACGACCGACCGCCAGGACCAGGGGAACATGATATCCCTCTCAACGCCAGTGGTTTTCTTGAAATCACTAAGATGCTATTCTGATATGCTCTATTTTGCTATTGGGCTCACTACCCATCTTCTCTAGATACTTCTTCGATTTTCTGTGTATCGTTAATTGGAATATTTCTACAAAGAACTGTACCTCTATTGACCTAAAATCTATTCCATCTATTAGGGATCTAGTACGCATATTATCCTTAATGGTCCGAGCTATTATCACGTTGAGCTTCTCGAGGTCGAAGTAGTTCGTGAATTGGTTTTTTTTTGTCTATTGTGTGCCAATAGTGTTTTATAGTACGAAAAGTGGATGTAATTTAATAGATACGTAATTATCTACTACTCCGTAGCTAGGAAATAATTGGAGCTTTTAAACGAGAGACCTAATTAGTATGTCCATACGGAGTACTCTGTTTCTTCGTGCGTGTAAAACATGCACATAATCAGTGTGCTTTGTAGTGGCTAAAGTGGCCGCTCATTGTATCAATTACGGCGGTTTGGCCGAGTGGTCTAAGGCGATTGACTAGAAATCAATTCCGTTCGCGGGCGCATGTTCGAATCATGCAGCCGTCGTGCTATTTCTTTTTTTTTGATATTTTATTGACAATACATCATGGAGGACACCGCTATTCCAGTACCGCCTTCCTAATCGGGTTCTACTCAGGCGCTAAGCGATATTCAAAATATTCAAGCCGTGGAAGTTCCTGGCCAACTAAATGCACCCACTTACAACACCATTGCAGGAACCATTGCAGGAACCATGCCCTGGAATCCACGTCAACCCAGTATCTTTCACGATGAGTCATGGCCTACACCATGGCGTTCATCTGAATTCCCACCCGAAGAAACTTTTGTCGAACGAATCAATCGACAGCATGCAAATCCCGAGTGGGAGTCTGTACCGCACTTCTTATACTACGAGTCTGGTAGGAGTGGGGGTTGGCCATGGGGATGGGCCATCTATCGTACCTCCTATCTCAACACTTCCGATCAAGACTGGACTAGAGCTATTGAAAAGCTCGACGAGGCCTGTATGGCTGACCTGGAGTTTTACGAGCGCAGCTGGCACCGATTCGACCTCAAATGCGTTGAAATGGTCCGCGAGGGTTATCGGAATGTTATCTTTGAAGACCCCGCGTTAGAGGGCGCGTCGGAAGCCGTTATCCAACGTCGACATAAGTAATGGGTCGAAAGCCATGGCCTCCGCATATCTAGTGGCATTCCTCGCCTTGGTTACGCACTTTTGTTAGATGATCGCTGTATACGATCAATCTTGGCCAGTGCGGCGCCTAGAAAGCCATCTGTTATCGAACAGGGGCTACCATGGCCAAAGATTAACGATAAACCGGGGGGGATGGTCGGTTACGTTAACTTTATCGACTCTCACTTCCGCCCCGAAGACCCGGAAAATGAATATGGAGAGTACTACCGTGGATTGGTCCGTGTTCATTTGGATTGTTTAGCCCAATTCGGTCTCTTTTGCGAGGATCTTGAGACTGGAGAGCAGGGATGGGGTGAATATGGGATGGACACACCTGACTATGTATTTTATACAGATGGCCATTGCTCAAAGCCTGAGTTGAAAGAAATGTTTCTTTCTTCCCCAGATAGAAACGTTAAGAGAACTGCGAGTGTGACTGAGCTCGAGTATATCGAGCGCCAGGATATGGAGAACTTAGCATTGAGTAATGTGCCGGGTTCTACCTAACATTGGAATGACACCAATACCAACGGCTTTTTTGGTCCCTAGATAATCCAACAGTTATCCTCTTTCAAAAGGTCTTTTTGGTCTTTTCTAGGGTATGTTAGAACATGACCACTAACTACCTCCGAATATTATTAGTAGGGAACCTTTGATACAAGCTATTTCTAGACCTTTAAGAGACTGCATACATATTTGTATAAATATTGATTCATGGCAGCTGATTAACCTCCCGGCGAAAAGCCCGGTGGGCGCGATGGACCCAAAAACCTCCGTAAAGAGCAAACTATGACACATCAGAATAACATCCTAGTGATTTCAAGAGAATCATTGGCGTTGAGAACGATATCGTGTTCCCCTGGTCCTGGGGGTCGATCGTAAATAGCAACGAATGGAAGACTTAACGGGGCCCCGACAACGTTGTTAGGCTGGACGTAGACCTCCTGCACCGAGTGTGGCTGCTGGGTGGGAACCGCCTGGATGGCAAGTGTAAGGGGGGCTAGTTGCCATTTTTCAAAGGTGACTTCAGTCAACCCCATCGAGATAATAATAACAATGCGCACTAGACCCCCGGGGAATGATAAGCCATCTCTTAGCGTCTTCGCGAAGCCGAGGGAGGGATTTAGAAACGCCCATTGGGGCAGCGATCTGGTGGTAAGAACGCATGGCCTCCCTGTTTACCTATACCGGTGGTAGAATTATAGGTAGCTGTTCCAGTCTAGACCATCTCTTACCACCTGAGTCCCATTGCAATAAGCTTCCTGTCGATTGCTCGACCGAATTGGTTTATGACTGCGTCATGGCGTTCTGATAGGACCACTTTGATCAGCCCTTTCGTCCCCTCCTATTGAAAACGATATTCAATACCCCCTAGACTAGTCGGATGCTCTTCGTTGAGATTTTTAATTGCTCGTGCCGATAGAATGAGGACGACGATAAACTGGTTTCCATCTCCCTTCTCTTATAGAGAATTCAGTAACTGCTCAGCTTCGAGCCGTAGGCCTTTGAAGCCTCAGAAAATGTGCACAATAGGGTCCGCGGGAAGGGCGGACATAAGGGAAGTGAAAGACATGCCCTTCTCTTGTCGTTATATATCTGAGGCTGGGGCAGAATCAACGTGAGCCATGGTGATTCGGCCAACCTTGGAGCCTTCCATAGGACGTGATTGGAGACTTTCTGAACTTTGATGACCCGGGCCATAAAGAAGTTAATTAACAATTTATGAGCGACTGATCGGCCAAATCAAAGCTACAAGTGAACTACTCAGGCACTTGAATTAAACGAAAAGTAAAAGTGAACTCAATTGAAAGACAAAATTGGGTATCGTTCGCAAACTCCCGCTACCATCCGCTAATTCACGAAGCGGCGTCAATTTTCGACGCCGAAGTGAGCGAAGATTCAAATCTGATGGCTTTGTTAGCATAAGAACATAAACAGAAGGTTTATATAGACTCACCAATGCAAGAGGAATGCGGTGAGGAACCCGACCATTGTGCAACAGCATAGCCACGGCCTTCTGGGGAGTAGCCTGTAGCTTGCGGTAGGCCTCCCGAACGTGCCGTGGCTCAATGGGAGTGCGCCCCTCCTCGGGCGGGTCGAACAGGCCAGTCTCGCGCTTCCGCTTCTTGAGGTTCTCACCGGCCTCGGCGCCCCCGCGACGGTGCTTCTCGTTGTCTTCGCGCTCCTTGACTTTGAGCGCCTCCTCAGTCAGGGTCTGGACGATCTCGAATGTGAGAAATCCGAGGATGTCCACAATGTCGTCGTTCGGCTTGGATTCGGTCACGATGCCGAATCCTGCCCATTCGCGGAATCGCTTACTCTTGCGGTAGGTAAAGGAAGCCTGGCGGCACTCGGACCAGAATACATACTCCTCCCTTGTCATGTGGCGGGTGCGTTCATCGGCGGCGGCAAGACGCTGGAGTGTCGCGTAGTTCTGCTCCTCCTCTTCTTCATCTTCTTCATCTTCACGTTCGGGAACCTGAACCGAGTAGAAACTGTTGACATCCCACGCAAGTCCGACCTTGGCGCGCTTATTCTTGGGCTTGGGGGCGACGTCTTGGGGGCCTGCAACAACACCAGCCGCATCGTCGGCGGCAGCGAAGTCGGCGGCGTCACCACCACCCTTGTCGTCGGAGTCCTTGACATTTTTGCGGACGTCCTTCCAGGACAGGAAGGTTCGCAGACGGGAGACCTTAGCCCTATCGTGGCGGATCAGGAAAATCAGGTCGTCGGTAGAGATCGAGCGAACTCCGCGGCGGGTTGCCAATGCAGTGCTGCGGGTAAGCTTACTTGGTCATTAGTGACAAGCTTTCGAGTTTGAAATTCCCGATACTCACGATTTCGATCACCTGTTGGCGGGTGATCTCTTCAATCAAAGTGGTAGTCTCCTGAGCCGGCTCTGCTGTTTCTCCGGAGACAAACATCATCTCAACATCGTCGTTAGTAAAGGATTCCCCAAAGTTGTCTTCGTCCATCTCATGATCTTCCTGGCTCTCGGCAATTGTTTCAGGGCTAGTTGCGGCATTGTCGATTCGGGAACTGAACGAGGTCAAGATGCGGCTGGAAATCGAGAGAAGCCGAATGCTAGACAGCCCTTCCTCGGAAGGACCACGCAGCAGCTTGGCACCGAAGACGTCTTCAACAGAATACATGGAAATATCGTCGCGGAAATCCAAGCCCGAGTCTAAAGCTGCACAAGGAGCATTGACGGGGGAGTAAACCGTACAATCACTCATGGTAACATCAGGATCATCCATGGTCATATCAGAATAACTCATGGTCACATCAGGGTCAGTCAAGGCCCCATCAAGATCACTCGAGGTCCCATCATAATCACTCAAGGTCCAATCATAATCACTCAAGGACATATTGGAATCACTCGAGGCCATGTCAGAATCACTCGAGGTCCCATCAGAATCACTCGAGGCCATATCAGGATCAGTCAAGGTCCGATCAGAATCACTCGAATTAGAATCACTCGAGATCCCATCAGAATCACTCCAGATCCCATCATGATCACTAAGTTCTTCGTCGCTCGAAGGATCTTCCCGGCTCTGTGCCCAGAGCGCATTGATTGATCCGACATCCAGGTTGGGAGAAGACATGATTGGGGAATCAGAAAGGATGAAATGTCAAAGGATGCGTGAGACGCGTTTGTTGGTGGGTTTGACAAAGTGTTTAGAAGACAAAACCCTCGAAAGAGGACGCAAGGCAGTAGATAATACGCCGAAAATACAACGCTGCAGGGGGGCTTCTCTTGGTAAACGAAGCGTTTGAACCGTAGATAAAAAAGATGAGGAGTGACAGCTGGCGGGGAATGGTGAACGAGAATAAGCGAGACAGGCAAGTCGGTAAGCCGATAGGCAGAGTAGCAGCCCTCACAAGGTCACAAGGTCGATATCGATAAACAGCTCGTGCTTGTGCTCGTGCTCGTAAACCCCACAACTCCCGGGATATATGAGAGAAGGCACGACCATCCTGCCAATTATCCTAGGCCTAGGAACCTTGAAATCGATCTTGGTTTTCAACACAGTATCCTTCATCGATCTAACGTCAAAGCTTCGAAATTGGCAGTACCAGTTTCAGAAAGGACTAGGCATCTCGAGTGTTGGAGTTCTGTTTCTCGACGTCAAGATGTGCGTATCTCAACAACCCAACAATGTAAGTCTGAAAGGCCCAGCTAGACCATGACAGGACATAAAACGGGGTTTTAGATCCAATATTGACCCTCGCTATTGATCGGAGAGGACAAGAATGAGATGTCGTTATTCCAGCAAATGAGTACATTCGCAAACCAGTGATATGTTGCAAGTCCAGCCGGGCCGTCTGTGGACATCATGATTGCCAACCTGAAAGGCAGGTTCGAACTTCGCAGGACTTCTTCCTATCGGACTCGGGGAATCGAGGTGGCCCCGGCCCTATCCTCAGAGACTATGTGTTTGCGCCACGCAAGTATGCTATGTCGCAAAGGCAGTCGACAGTCACAATATGTTCAGAGGCCTTCGAAGCCTGATCGGGCGATAAGATCGATATATTCGAGAGCCAGAAAGATCGGGAGATGGAAAAACCTAAGCAAAATGAACCAGATATCAGGGACTCACCTGTTGTATCTCCTGCCGATACTTCGGGTTTCGATCGGAGCTCATGATGGGTGGTGGTAACCCTATCAAAGAGAATTTCTTCGATTATCAAGATGAGGGTTACACTAGTATTCTAGCGTGAGTGAATGTTCTTCGATTGATTGAAGACAAGTGAGAGATGAAGAGGGGATGAAGCTCTGGACGTTCACACAAGCACAGGGCGATCTGGGGACGATAAGCGATAACCGGATGTTCTTTGATCCGGCATCTTTTATCCGGCGGTGGCGGAGTATTCTGCCGGCATGCGGGGCACGGCTGTTTTTTTTTTCTAACTGCTTGTTATACAGTGAGATTCATTGTATTCTGCTCAATTGCATAGCCTGAGATCATATTGTCAGGATGCTCTATCTAGTTGGACTCGGCCTCGCCGATGAGACGGATATCACCGTCCGCGGTCTAGAGATCGTCAAGCGGGCCGAGAGAGTCTATCTAGAGGCTTACACGAGTATTCTTCTTGTCGATAAGGAAAAATTGGTGAGTTGAGCTCCAAGTCTTTACTTTGAATCCCATATGCCAATGAGTCAATCTATATCTTTCGCGCAGATGGACTGATTAAACATAATACCAGTAGGAAGCGTTTTATGGCCGTTCCGTCATCGAGGCAGACCGTGAACTAGTCGAGACTGGCAGTGATGACATCCTCGCCGGCGGCGACAAAGCCGATATTGTGTTCCTGGTAGTGGGAGACCCATTCGGGTACGGTCTTGATACATCTCCCCTACAAGATCTCTAGCTAAAACATACCACCAACAGCGCAACAACGCATACTGACCTTGTCCTCCGCGCGCGCGAACTTGGAATCGAGACCAGAGTCGTCCCGAACGCCTCCATCATGTCCGGAATTGGCTGCACGGGGCTCCAGCTGTACAACTTCGGACAAACAGTCAGCATGGTTTTCTTCACCGAGACCTGGAAGCCGTCATCGTACTACGATCGTGTGCGCGAGAACGTGCAGACCGGCCTACACACACTAGTCCTGCTCGATATTAAAGTCAAGGAGCAGTCACTGGAGAATATGGCGCGCGGACGCCGCATTTTCGAGCCCCCGCGCTACATGACTGTTGCACAATGTGCGGCACAAATGTTGGAGACGGAGGAGGAGCGGAAGGAGGGTGTCTATGGGCCGGATAGTTTGGCTGTTGGTGCGGCGCGTGTTGGTGCTGCTAATCAGAAGCTTGTTTCTGGTACGCTTAAGGAATTGTCTACTGTTGAGATGGGCGCGCCGTTGCACAGTCTTGTTCTTCTTGGTCGGAGGACGCACGATCTTGAGAGGGACTATATTCGCGAATATGCGGTCAATAAGGAGACTTTTGATGCGAGCTATGTCAAGGGATATGGGGCTAGCTTGTAAGTTACTTCTGTGGAGATATGAGAATATTAAAATACATGATAAGATCCTTTTAAAATGTGGACTGATTTACTTGATATAATACACCGAGGTTGTTGAAGGACAAAGGTTGGAAAGATTGTATATGGTATATTGGCCTTCATTCAATTTGATCCTGCGAGGACCAGCCGACCAGAGCAGTGTCTGGATTTTTCTATTTTAAAATAGGAAGACAAATGAAAATGCCGCAATATAACGAAAGATGCAAAGCAAATGGTATCCAAGAAACAAAAACGAAAAACAGATGCGAGGCATAATATCAAAAAGACCCCAACCGACACCTTATATGCAAAATGTTGAAGCAATGTACAACTCAACTCTCGAGAAAAAAGACAGGCTTATATCGTATCACATCAGATGTCTTCTTCCTCACCAGGAAGAAGAATCTCATGTCCAGAACCTTCATATACAAAGATAGCCGCAAGACAGCCAAACACGGATACTAAGGCAATCATCCACCAGGCGAAGCCGATCATGCCAATATCCAGACCATATCCGTACCACGCGCCTGAAAATATAGGTCCAATGGTACGGAAGGCTGACGATACGGACTGGCCAATTCCGTGAATTGTGCCGAGGACGGATGGGTGTGGCGAGCAATTATTCAACAGGATAATAGAGGTGGGAAGAGTAAAGGTTCGGGCAGTGACCTGGAAGAAGAGGACGATGATGATCCAGAACCAGACCCAGGGGCCGTTGGCTTGGCCAGGAGGGGGAGTTGTAGACGGAGCCAGTGAGATATAGGGAGCAATGAAGTATGCGATCGGGAAGAGGGCGAGGAAATACTGGTAGCTCTTGGCTGCTCCCAGACGGCCATTGATAGTAGGATATATGGTGAATTGGAGGACCATACCAATTACACCCAAAATGGCGGTCGCAAAGCCAACGCTCTGCGGCAGCATGCCCAGTCCGCCGGTGAAGGCGAATGGCAAGCTCCGTGCGGGGCTCGCGGGGTCATTGGAATCATAGCGGGGGGTAGATAAGAAGAGTAGCCAGAGGTTGTTGAAGGCACCCATCTGGAAGTCGAAGAAAGCCTGTGCGCCCAGTGTGCACAACACGTTCTTGGTCCAGATTCTTCGGAAAGGCAGGGCACGTTGGAGACGGGCAGGCTTGTGCGCTTTTTCTTCGAGCTCGTAGCTTTCCGAGCGATCCGTGGGCCGGTCTAGCAAAGGCCCGTCCTCTTCGTAGTCGCCGTGCGGAAGCCTTGTGTATAAGGATGATGAAGAGGGGACCACTCTCCTCACGCCGCGCGCAAACATCTTCTTCGCAAATGCACCCAGGCCAGGCTTGCCCTTGCAAGATGCCAAGGTCTCTTCTAATCCATACGCAACCAAAGCTGCAGTTGAAGAGAGGAAACAGAAGTTTGCGAACATTGGCAGGGCGTACGGGTACGTCTCGAGCCATTGCACTCCGTTCGCACCTCCAAAGGAAGAATTGGGCCCAAAAAGACGAGGGTAGCTCTTAACGGGATCAGCCAACATGCCACCCATCACTGCGAAACTGGTTAGCAAATTGTCGCATGGCCGCGAACAGCATTGACAGAATGAGGTACTCACCAGGACCAAATAACGAAGCTATGTTGAACCCAATAGGCAAAATCAAGAAAGCGCGTGAGTGATATTTCTTCTCCTTGACATTCTCCGCGATCATAGTTCGAATGATACCAACGGTGCCGTTGATGCCGCCACCAAACGAGCGCCAGAACACGGCCTGCGCGAACGACGTCGAATAGGCGACACCCAAACAAGACATCGCAGTGCCAATCAGACCAACAAGTAGAACAAACTTTCGGCCGCCCCACTCAGCATCGGCAACACGACCCCAAGGGATCGCCGTCGCAAACTGAGCAGCGGTAAAAGCACCCTGGAGAATTCCCGCCTGGGTCGCAACATCCGAGTCGGAGAGGTTCGGGTCAAAGGACTTGAGCTGATAGAACATATAGGCCTGCAGCGAAGCGATCTGCAAGAAGTCAAAGACACGGCAGAGCCCTAACAACGCCAATTGACCCTTTCGCGGCAGCGACATCCATGTTACGAGCGCAGGGCGCGCTGGCGCGGGCACAGTCGGGAGCTCATTCTCCTGCAGGGTCAGTACCTGTGGCAGGCCATGGCTGATAGAGCGGCCGCGCACATGCTGTGCTTTTCGATCACCATTTAAATCCATCGAGGTATTCCTTAGCATGTTATCATCGAAGACGGGCGAGTCGAGCGAGTCGTGGGAGGAATGTTCTTCAACGCTGGCGAGGGAGGTATTGGACTCGCGTCGGCGGCGGCCTGTGGTGTTTTCGGGTTCCCCGGTGCCCTGGGTGAAATGGAAGCCACTCGACCAGGACGTCGTACGCGCGTGGCGGGCATTATTCGTTTTATGATTTCCAGTCCTAGTCATTGAGGAATGCACTAGTGTAAAGCGCGGCGCCGTAACGATCAAAGGCCTCGGTTCCACGTATTTTTCGTGGTTTAGGTTCCGTAGTTGTTGATATTAATTATGATTGGCTATGATAGAGAGAATGGAAAAAAGAGAAAACCTGGAAGACTTGTATTTTTTTATTTTACTTCGATTTCTCCTATGTTATTGCGATGACGTTTTTTCTCGGTTCCTAATTGAGGCCCACCAGCCGGAGAATGCCGTTACAACTTTGTACACAATAAAGAACTCTATTTTTATATTGAACATAACAGTTAAATCAAATCCCTTAATATAAAATCCATAAGTTGTATGATAGATCGACAACGACGGGCTTGCGACGACCGCTCCACATCTCCCTGCCGATTGACGACGGAAGTCTTGGCGTTAAGGAGGAGAACGTTTTGAACATTTAGTTGCTTTACAGTACTTTACAACACATCAATACAAAAAAACAATTAATAACCATGGTCCTACCGCGGTTCTACCGTGGTACAAGATAGAGTTCAAGCGTATCAGCCACATCCACGTTTGGAGCCGCTTGGATACACCACGTACAGGTGGTACAAATGTATACTTCAGTCCTGCCATAGCATACTCAACCCTACAAGGCGAAGCTAGGAGTTGATAACTTGTACACATCGTATCCTGCGCCATATATGTACTAGTTTAAGTAATGTAAAATCTAACCAGGTCGTGTTATTCCTTCACAAAACAGTCAATACGAATGATTAATGCCCAGCGCGAAAACAGCTCCGCCTCGCTCCGGAGGTACGTATACCTACGGGCTAATAATGCTTCTGTACAGAGTACGGCGGACGGGGTATTTTATTTATGGTGTATTTTCTAAAAAGCGGCGGACTATTCCCTGTATTAGTTCCACGCGGTCGCGAATATCCTTTTCATCACGCTATACTCGACATAAAAAGGTGGAATAAATTTCTCCACCATGCGATCCCACGAGGCTCTCCAAGGTGGATTATGCATGGCACGGTAGAACTCCCAATACTCCGGCCAAAAGCCAGCTAGGCCCCAGTCCAATAGAACAACAGTGCCATCAGTCCGAACAAGGATATTCCCTGCATGTAAATCCCCGTGTGTAAACAAGATCTTGTGATTTTTGAGACCTCGGACCGTCTGGTATAACATGTACTCGCTGTTGAAAAAGTCTGATTCGATGTCATGTTCACCCTCGAGAACTTTCGAGGGCAGTCGATCTCGCAAAGCTTGAATCATTCCTTCGTCAAAGCTTTCCTCGGATGGGTATGGGCCGTAGCTGTAGCTAGTGTAGTCGCCGTAGCCGGCCTCAAAGACGCCGTCCCGACAGGGTGATCCGTCGACTCCACCGATGAAATCCCCTGGAATCTCACGCATCTGGTTTACGTAGTCCCGTAACTGCTCCAGTACGCGACTTTGTTCAACCTTCGAAACACGATCCCAGTATTTTCCGAGTGACTCGCCCACTTCATATGACATTATGATGTATCCAACGCCATCAAGGATATATGCACTGAGAAGCCTTGGTGTTGCTATGGTGGTACGGGTAGATGCCAAATGTAACGCTTCGGCTTCGGCTAGACGAACACCATGGCCGAATTTCGCAACCGTCTCTGAATCTGCGAAAACAACACGCGCGCCCATTTTGTCGGGACAAAGGCAGGTTGCTCTGTGCAAATCGTCGGGGTCGAGTATGATAGATGGAGGCCCAATGACGCCTGAGTAAATTACGCGAAGTTTTTGCTCCTCTGTTTCCAAGCCTTCAGGAGAGGTGCTGCCGCTATTCGTAGCGGAAGCTGTAGTTTCTTCTTTCTCTCCGGTCTTCTCTATGTCAGTACTGGCTGCTGCACTGATCTCTGGCATCTCGAGGTCGGTTTTCCCCGCTGAATCCCTCGCGAGGGAACAACTACGGAGAAAATCGGACTCCGCAAGCGATTCCCCAGTACCGCCATATCGAGGTGGAAGCTGTGATCCAAGATATCGAGCAAGGTCCTCTGGATTTTCCAAAAGTACCGTATCTCTCAAGAGAGATTCATCGATATCAAGAGTTGCGAGGTATTCATCACGAGGATTGATGATGTATGCCTTTCCCAGAATATTAGGATAGTGATACCGGATGAATGTCACCAATTCCTCAAGGGCGTTGCAGATCTTTCCCTGGAAGGACTGCTGTCCTTTCTTGGCATTTTGAATGGTATGTATCTTGAATTCGATCACACAGGAAGCCGAATAGTCATGTAGATCAGAACTAGCGGCTGAATGCATCAGAAGCATGGAGAGCTTTTCCATTACAGCAAGACCTAACTGCACCATCCATTGAGATGTCGTCAGGCTTTCATGTATTGGTGAGTATCCCTTAATCGCCATCTCATCAATGCTAACCCACAGCACATATTGGCCCTCATTTAAAGTGATATGGCCTATGTCTAAGTCTGGAAGGATGGACTGTGCTTCAGGAAGAAGAGCCCTCGGGTCAGAGAAGCGTCGCCATTCCAAAGTTTTCTCTAGTGAGGCACTTGCCCTAGAAAATTGAAGTGCGGGGATTGTGGAATGGCTTCTGAGGAACTGTTGATAGTTTAGTGACGAATCTCGGTGCGTGCCCGCAGTGCAAGTACCTTTTCCAAAATCACCTCCAGTACCTGCCACTCCGCATGCTTCAAATCAACACCCCAAATCTCAGTATTGCGGGACTTTTTCAAGATAGAAGGAAGAGCATCCCGAAAACGACTAGCCAGAGAACTTGATTTCTCTAATGAGACAGACATTGTCAAAAAGTCATCTAAAAAGGAGGACGAAACGCTGTCAGTTACTGATATCCAAAATTTGATTATATGCCTGTCAAGGCTCGAATACCGATAGAAAATTGAATGATTACTGTATTCTTGCTTGTGGTGGGAGAAAGTGAGGCAGCGATCCGCATCTCGAGCTTTGTCTGGCCTTATCTCGATGTTGAGCCCCCGGGGACCGGGCCGCCCAGTGGGCTTAGTCACTTTAATATGGATCCATGTATGTGATTGGTTCGCTACCCTGATTGTGGAAACATTCATGCTGAACCAATGAAATCTATCTATATTTAGATATAACTACGCGCAGAGCCACTCCATGAGTCTCTTATCATCAATAGATCGAAGTTGTCTAATTACCTATCGCTCACATGCATGTAGATCTTCTAACCGCCATGGATGTATCATGTTCTAGTCGGCCTGAATGCCACCATTCCCTGCGAGCCACTCAATATCCAAGATTCGAGGGTTGCATGAAACATTATGCTTCTATTTTGATACTTCCCAGGAGCTTTAGCGCTTGCAGGGCGAGCGCTTCGAGCAATGGCTTTTTTCATGGACACAGCATCGCCCCCCACGGTCTCTTCTCAGAATACAATAAATAATGCGCAATTTCCCGTCAAGTATCATTGTCTTCAACGACTATTCTCTTCTCTCTTGTCTCATTCTTTTATCGCCAGCCACCAAGTGTATACACGTCTCCTTCACATACCGCAGCGAGTCTACCTTTGCTAGCACCATGCCAGACGATCCTCGCTCTTCCTCGAGGCACAGCTCCCACTCCAACAGCTCCAGCAAAAACAGCGAAAAGGACTATGCGCTTAGTGTCAATCTTTATGGACGGGGAGCTGCCCATCAGGGTGATCCCCCGGCCCACTGGGGAGCTATGCTCCACAAGCGAGGGGAGACGGACGGTGATCTCTACCATGTTCGCAAGGACCAAGAATTCTTCTACGAAGATCCAGTACACAGACGTCCGATTGAATCAAATACCAGCTTTGGTCGAAGTGAAATGATGCATCTTTCGAAAACGGACAAGGAGACTGCGGCACAAGTCTTGAATAAGTATGGCAAAAACAGATCGACCATACTTACAGTATGTACGGAGTACTATGCTACGCACTATGTTGTATGTATTTTTTTTTTAAAAAAAGGAAATTCGACTAATATCGAGAAGTTTCTGCCGAGCGAACACCGGCGCGAAAAAATCCACTTTGATACATCACCATACATCACGTACGATACAAACGTATACGCGGCCTTCCTATTGCATACTTTGATCGGTATAGAGATGGGATATATAATTCGCATACTACATAAGCCTATATAAGTAGTTATATCGTATCTTGTGCCATGACTGCACCAGCCAAGCTAACATGAAATCCAACGAGCTCGTATTATTCACAAAGCAATCAATACGAAGAATGAATACCCATCGCGAAGGTAAGCAGCTCCGCCTCGATCCGGAGGTACGTATGTCCAGTGCGTATGTACAATAGGTGCGGATTTTTCGGATACACGAATTATATTATATTACTCGGTGGAAACGTCTACGGGCCCATTATAGACTTCTAGATCTATATCATAAATACGATGCAACAGGATTTTTTTCCTATTTGGGTAGCTGATACGAGATATAATGTATAGCGATCAGTCTATGGATATATGTTATGGTAGTATGTATGTATGTACAACGCTGAGTAGCTAGCATCTAGAACGCAAAAAAGAAGCAAGAAATAGAGACACAAGAACGAGGAGTCACTATTCGATCCGTTCTCGTTCACGCCTATGGCCGTATAGACTCCGCTCAACGAGCGGGAAATAGGAAGCTGTTTCGTCCTCTCCTACCCATCGGCGCCAATTCCACCAGCGTAGATCGGTGGCTTGCACGGGCGGGTGTTTCCGTTCAGCCGTACCGTCCACAGGCGCAGACGATTCCTGATCACGTAGTTGGGTAAGCGAATGCCTGGTATAATATCGATGTGCGAGGAAGATTCCGGCGAAGAGGGGGATCGCCACGAGGAGAACGGCACCCCAGGCAAGTAGGCCTGTGAAAATGTCAGTTTTGCTTGTCTTACTTGAAGAATAGAAAGCATGTTCAGGATGTACTTACGGCCATTCCTCCACCGGTCTGAGTACTTTGGAGTACCAGCCGGGCCTGCATAGCCCGATGGATGTGTATAAATATTGGAGCCCGGGTTGTTAGGGTCAATCCATGGCACGGTATTGACGCCTACTGGCGGAATGAAAGGACGGGCTGCCTCTTCGCCGGGGAACCCATACCCCGGTGCGTCCAAGCAGGTAGATTCGGCGCAGAATTCGCGCAGCTCGGACGAGGGCACGAAGGTATACTTGGTTTCGGATTTTCCGAGCAAAATGCCCTCGCGATCCACTGCCTCGACCTTAGACCAGAGGTAGAACTTGGGGGTGGAGTATTCGGTCTCAAAGCCGGTTTTGGAAACCTCGTCCAGCAAGGTCCAAGGCCCGGTGGCGTTCATCGCTCCCCAAAATCGCCAGGTCTTGACGCGGGTTGCGCCGTTCCAACTAACATAGAAGCTGGTGGTCGATGATGTCTCCGCGCTTCGGGAGTATGTCCATAGGGCAGGAGAGTCTGTCGGTGCACCGTCCCATTCAAACTTCATTGCGCGGTAGTTCATCACGGTATCTTTGGCGAAAGAGCCCCAGAACAGTAGATTGCCCGCCTCGTCGTGCTCGGATACAAATGGGTTGTTTCCCCATCCGATGAACGCATTTTGGTTGGGGAGCATCTGTAGGTTTCCCTGGCTGGAGCTCACTAGGTCGTCTCGAATTGGAGCGTAGTCGCGGAGCTGGATAGCCGTTTTTTCCACGTGGTCAATCATGATGATCATACCCGCTGAATAGGTATGTGTCTTGTTGAAGCCGTTGTAGCCATTGTTGTAAAGTGAGAGCAGTGTATGCGTAGCATTCTCATACAACCACCGGGCGTCATGCTGCTGCGAAAAGCTAAAATTGATATTCCGGAAAGAGGGCTGCGCGCCGTGAAGCCGCCACATCACCGAGCCGTCCTTACCGGAGATCTTGTAGATGGCAGAAGTATGCCTCGACGAAATCAAATAGTCACCAGCGGCATTTTTGTCGACAGAGTTGATATGGAAGTAATCCCAAGGTTCATGCACGTTCAATCCCGTCCCAGAAGTATCCGTATGAGCCGGCCATGTATAGCTCGACGATGGATCAACATGGTCGAGAGACCGCCATTCAAACAGCACGCTGTTGGTCTCCACGTCGATCTCCTGGAAGACACTCTCCATGAGCCATCCTACGCCGGTTTTGACGTTCCACGGTGTCATGTCGAACTGCCGTTGTTGGTAGATGGTCATGAGAGCGGTCTTGCCGTCATTGATGGGACGGAATTCGTGCATGTCGCTCGAGGCCATTCCTCCGCCCGGCTGAACTGATCGCACAACCCGGTAGTTGTTATCCATGATGATTCCATGTCCGCGGCAGTATCCCTTTTGCTGGTTGCCCTGGAAGAAACATAGGTGGTCGGCGCCTTTATACTTGCACACGTGAAGTCCATGGGCGTTTCCCGGCCCTGAAATCCCCCAGCCACTCCATACTAATTCCTATTGATTGCATGACGGGTTAGCTTCTCCACGAGGGACGAATCTGAACCCAAAAAAACAAAGACCTACCCCTGTGTTATCGTAGATGTATGGGCCGGGGTTTTGAAGCTCGTATGGTGTGATGAAGATGTAGCCCGGGCTGAGCTTGTCTGGGTTGGACTTTTCGATATTGAAGACGGGCGGGTATATGTCGGGTCTCTGTTGTACCGATATTAGAAAGCAAGCATACTTGGGCGCCAGGCTAATTTCACTAACCGATTTGTAAAAAGAGGTTTCCTCTCCAAGCGCACAGTCAATCGCGCATAACCAGAGAATGCCAAGAAAGAAGAGCGACGGCGCAGTCCCTAAAGAGGAAAATAGGGAGGTGCCCATGGATCCTTCGCACCACTTCCCGATGCAAGATAGAAACACTGAAGAATATCACCCAAAGGAATGTCTGTAAGGGAGGTTATACTGAAAGCAAATCATTTAGAAGTATAGAAGAGTATTCCACCCAGGCCAAGAGGCCCAAGGTGAACGAACAGTGTGTACGAATCCCTCTCCACCTGTCAATGCATGCTTTTCGCATATCAAGTGGGGCCCAAGTTGTGTTGATCGTCGACGCTCATTGGCCAATTGCCATTTAAAGCTACCTAGACAAAGATGCTTGGTCAGCGGCAATCCGGCCACCGCTGCCCAGTCAAAGTTGTCTCAGTTGCTGAAGTTGCGGGGGAAGTCTATACGAGCGGAATCAAGGTTAACAATCCCTCTATTAACAGGATATCCTCCCTCAAAATATTCGATTGTCTAACTTGGTTGTTGTTTTCTTCCCCAAATACGTGTAACTTAACTCAGATAGTGTGACGGTACGGTATCTCCCAGGAGCCGCGTCATGGGCGATGTGGCAGCCGCTAAGCAGCCCCTAATACCATAACTCCGAGATCGTATCTGTTCCGTAAGCTGAATGTCCGAGATCAATTATAATTCACGGGTCCGTCAAAGGTTCGCGCAGAACCATGTAACGTGTCTCGGAGATACGCAGTTACCCGCTAGCCACACTTCAGACAGACAGCTCAATCCGGAGACGAGTTAACCTGTTCGGGAGATGCAACCAATGGATCGGGCTTCTACGGTTCCAGGCGCTCCGATCGAGCTAAAAGCTCAAAGCCACGTGCATGTGGCATTATTTGTTGCGTACGCCGGTGGACTGAAAGCGGGGGATTGGTTCAGGGACGGCGGTGGCGCATGGTGCGTCGTCAGAGCATACGCGGGCTGTTGTTGCAGCATCTATTCTGGTCCGTACGGCGTACACGTGCATTAGATTTGGACCTACAGTTTGGCCTTGTGCATAATTTAGTGTCCGTAATTGGAGGTAGACATCGGACGATATGGATACTGTCGTACCAGACACCACATGTTGATTGATTTACGAGCCCGTGTGTGAGATTCTCCAGGGACATCTTATTTACTGTAGATCATTCAACATTAAGAGCTATAGCGGATAGATAAGATATTAGATGAAAAAAAAGGGATCTTATACTCCTTTCGGCGTACCCACAAGAGCTAAGAGGACCTATCAGATGTCCACAGTCACAGCTGAGATACATAAAAGATATCTTTCTCTCATATGGTGTGCCAAACAGGGTTCAAATCCAAGAACACCAGTCCAACCCCGAATAGTCTCAAATATCCAGGCCCGGACGAACTCCTCAATCCCAAATAACGAACAACGAACCCATCAGCCACTAAGTCCACGTATACCACTCCATCTATATTACGTACATCCGTCAAAGCTTTTAATTCAAGCCTTCTGAGGGATCCACTCCGGCGCCTAGAATGAAAGAAGCAATCTGAGCCCCGCTTGTTTTGTATCGAATAGAGAGCAGCAGTTCCAGGTTGTATCAGATTATTGTTTCCCTTACAAGGATATAACAGGAGATAACAATACGTGTAACTTTCAATGTTTGGAACGCAGGTTCACGTAATTAATACCCCTTTCGCCTGCCAAGCCGCTAACCAGGGAAACTCCACGGCACTTCTCCAATAAGGTGTGGCTGGTACATTTCCTCTGGTTTCGTACGAGTACGAGGTGGAAGGCTTGGGGCTGGGTGTGTCGATGGGTGTTTATTTACTTGAAGCGGTTGCTATGTGTACATGTAAAATTGTCGTTATGAGCAGATTTCTATTCTCAAGGTTTATTGTATGCAGCGAAACGTCAAAGTATTGATTCGTATATACTTCGTACGCTTCTGTCGGTTTGATTTTAATAACAATTCCATGGCGCCTTGCATTGACCGATTCATGAAAAGTAAGGCTTCTTGTAGCCAAAACTCTAGGAGCCCCTTGCCTCTAGGCAATGCATGATGATAACAGAGCCTCGGGGAAGCGGGTGCTTGGTGTTTATCCCTCGATTTGAAAGCGGGGGTGCTATGATGCGCTTGTACAGTACAGAGTATGCATAAGAAATGATGGTAGAAATAGAAGTATATACTGTTACATTACCGGATTTTCTCCAAACGCCCCTGAAAATGGCAAAACAAGAGATCAGAGATGATAGATGCATGGTCTGTTCCAACAAGAAGGATGACAGAGAAGAAAAAATGCCACGGGGTCTGACATACTAGCGGCGCCTGCGCACACTAGCAGCCAGCAGAGAAAGTGAGACGTGGGGAATATGAGAAAAGGGAAAAAAAATGCAAGACAAGGATTTTAGCGAGGGGAGAAACGCTTGAAAGCCAAAGTAGCAGCAAGGCCAGCAGCAAGCAGCGAACCACCAAGAGTGACGGCCTGGAGGGCAACGTTCATCATCTGGTGACGGTTGCGGGTGCTGCAGCGCTTGTAGAAGTCGGCCATGTCGTTGCCGCGGGGGAAGGGGGTGTCAGGGACCTCCTCCTCGAGGAACTCGCAGAGCGGGGCCCAGCCGTCGTTGATGTTGTATTCGAGCAGACGCTCGGGGGGAACCAGACTGCGGACCTGGGCAACGTGGTCCTCGTAGACTTGCTTGCCCTTGCCCGGGAAGTCACCGCGGAAGAATGTCTCAAAGAACTTGTTCAGCATAGGGTAGTACATGCCAGCGGCCCAGCTGAAGTTCGACACGAACTTGTGCTCTGGGTCTGAGACACGCCAGAAGACGGTCTTCATGACGGAGCTGTGGTTTGTTAGTGTCGTGTTCTTAGATTAGAAATACAGTGTATAAAATGTTGACTTACGCATGCCATGGGTCCACATCACGGGTGGTTAGAATGACCTTCGCATTGGGATAGGCCTCGATCAGCTCCTTCGCGAAGGCACAGGCAGGCCAGTCACAGACGGCTTGGCAGTCACCCAGAAGCTGGTCCCATTCTTTGCGGCCGAACTCGCCGACTCCGTCGTACTTCGCGTTCAGGGCATCGTGCCACATCAAGCAGTCCGGCGGGTTCTCAACACTTGCGCACATCATGTGGTAGCACTTGCCATAGCCCAGGCGCTCAAAAGCCTTGCGGAGAGCTGTGAAATAAAAATTAGTTTATATGTTCTGTTCCCATCGGACCCGGTATATACACTAATATACACCAAGTCCAACGCAACACAGCATCTCATACTTACAGGCAGTTCCAGTACGGCCAACACCCAGAGCCAGGACCTTCATAGGCACAGTACGGTGGCATTTCCGGCGGTTAATGTTTGTGTCATTGGTGAAGACGTCGGTAATGGGCTGGGGAGCCAGATTATCGGAGAGCATGAGAGACATGGTGGGTGTTGATCAGCTCAATCGCAATTCGATATAGTTTGAATGTGTATAGAGACAGAAGAAGTAGATGATATAAACGAAAGAAGTAATAAAACCGGACAAAGAAGGGACAAGATGTATGGAAAAAGTCTAGAAGGAAGGGGGGTTATAAGAGATTGATATGGAGATAAGGGGAAGAGTAGAATAAATTAAAAAACAAAAATTAAAAAAAAGATCCTAAAAAAAGAATCCAGACTCCGGAACAACTGATCCTCAAGGGAGATCGAATAGAACAATGAAGTGTACTCCGTAGTGGGCATTCGGCAGTGGCAGTGCCAATGACGAGGCTCAAACCATAGTCCCTAAGTACGATGTGTGTATGCCTCCCCGCGAGTGGCAACGTTCCTATCCGCTATGTCCGAGTCTTGGCTTTGGGTCCTTCATTCCTGATATCCGATTGTGCCCCGTTTGGACCGGTGGATTCCATAAAACCAAAGGGCCCACGAGGGTCTACAAGGTATGTTGTACATTGAAAGTCATTGTATGTTGTATTGCACTGAGGCGCGTATACAACATAGACACGACGTCACAGGCTGACGCACAGGGATGTCACGGATAGTCAGGGGTGTTTTGTGGAGTCGCGTATTGTATTGTATGTATGGTACAGTTCGTATGGTAAAAGTCCGAGTGCAAAAATGGCGAGGGTTTTGGTAAATGAAAATTACCAGACAATTACCAAAAGAATTGTTCCTTCCTGTTGCCAAGACTCATCCACGTACGCTTCGAAATTCGGAATATTCTTTGATCAGTCGAGTCTCTCGGCAAAATTGACGATCCATAGTGCCGGTTGGTGGAGCACTAAATGGGAACGCGTACACCCTCAACTTGTAGCGAATGCGGATTTCTGAATGAGGCCGTGAAGGTTCGAATGCACCACATACATTGTAGGCTCATAGATCATCGTAGACTCATCTACTATGTATGTATAAGCCTGCAATGTTGTGTTGCTAGTTGTCATATCATATCCAGCACACCACAGTGACAGCAATAGTGACCCGAATTGTGTCTGCCAAGCTTGGCCCACAGTATCCCAAGCAAGTCAATCTCTCAGCTGTCCCGCCCAGGGGAATATCGTTCCGAGTACGAGAACCTGGCACCCCCGCTCCATCGGGTTGGTTGCATATTCGGCTCATTCGAGACTGCAGTTGTGAGTTTCACATGTCAAGCGTATGTGAAAGTTTCAAGTCATGATGGGGCCCTTCTCCTGGATCGTCCGGTCACTTTGCCTATCACGGAAAAGACCATCTCCTCGATGTGTCGCGGTCCCAAAGCTGTTATCTCCCAAGTACCGATCAGGCAAGTTGCGTTGGGAGTGTTGAAAACAAAGTTCCACCCGATTCTCATTGCCAGGGATAATCGTCCGGTGTGTACGGAGTATTGTGTGAGGATTCCCGGTTCTGTTGTCATGCATCAGTACTGTCACAGCGGCCGAACTGATCGTCCCGTGTTGTTGAGGTATTTTCCACTCGGGGAAGGTATCCCCTCGTGGACCCTGGCTTTGTCATGTGCCCAACAAAATTGAGCAGATGTCAGTGAGGCAGTTAAGATGATATCATAGTCAGCCTATGATGGAGAGTGATAGTGATAGTGATGTTCCAGAGAAACCATCGTCGTATAATGCCTATAACATGCATGCTAAAGGCAGATTATGGTAGATTCTTTGCGGCCAGTTGAAGTAAAAACGCAGAAAGGGAAGAGACCCTTTCGAAAGGGTCAACAGCGAGAGAGCTTCTTAAATGTGCGATGCCAAGACCCTTAGACTCACGCTCGCAATCGAAGCTATAATCACATCACCAAGCCACGACCGATTGGGAAGCCCCTCCACACAGATTGCAATCTAATCTAAGCTTAAAGCCCTAGGTTGGTCCATTGAGTCAATTTTGTGCAGGCCGTCTTCGTCAGGCATTAACGGCAGTGTTTTCGGCAACCAGTGACACAATGTATTCCAAACTATGAGTGGGTGTATGAGTACGAGTGGTTCCCTTGCGAATGTTGACCGAAGGACTTGGCAGTAGCAAACAGACTGAGCTACCCGTCACCCATGGATGTTATATCGACATAAGCTTCCAATGATATGTCTCAGCCTTAGTTATACGCTCGTAGTAGATTAGATCATAATCAGAAATACTTACTTGGGACCTCGTATGAGAATATGTGATCTTGCATGGTAGCCGGCATCTGGATATGTTTCTGTGGTCTCGTATAGCACTATAAAGAGCACATATTCAACTACGTTCGATTACACTCAATTTCATAATTTCATAGTGCCGCTTAATGTTCAATGCTACATACTCCATAGCCCAGCTGGCGCAAGGGTAGTGTGCGAGACTCCTAATCTCCAGGTTGGGGTACCCCATGCTTCCCCACGATTGGTGTTTTTGCCACTTTGGTCTTTTTTTAGTATGTTCTCTGATAAAGACCATTTTATCTCATATATACGGAGGGGAAAAGAACGTCATGTACTTGGTTTAAACCGTAGATTTTGCCTAACTCTTGAAGAGCAGCCTCTGCGTGTTTTGCATCTAGGAAACTTAATGTATGCCTAAAGAATATCCTTTGGAAGACTTCATCCGCAATGAGCAGATAGACCAGAGAGGACTTGATGCAGCGTACTCATATGACCATGATTGACATTGGCCCCTAAGTGGTGGCATGAACTATACCGATGATTTGATATCTCCAGAATAACCCCCGAAATATGAACATGAACAGCACTAATATTGTCTGAAAGCCACCGATACACCTGAAACTCCATGCAAATGACTGTTTTGCTTTGATTGTCCAATGCAGTCGGGTCCGTAATCCGCAACGGTCCCATACCGTTCCCGAATCCAAGTATCACGGCTCACTTCTACTCCAATTTATCCAGGTGTTCCAATCGCGTGAGAACGACCTGCTTGCTTGTCTCTTGAATCTCGCCGGCGAGAAAGACTTCATCCAGGATAGCGTAGACCTATAAATCCGGCACACGTGGTCAGTATCATAGCTTCGATTCCACACCAGCCCCGGTTCATGCCGAGCAGTGCATTCGTCCCGGCGACTTGCACGCACCTTGTAGAAATTAAAGACCAAATCCAGCTCGCACACATTGCCGAAGAACTGGTCCAGCACTTCGACAAAGAAATGGATGGCCTCGAGATAGGCTAGCTCGTTGTCGTTCGCATCGACGCAGACGCAAAAGAACAGGCCGGCATATCTGCGGTAGACGACCTTGGTACTCCGGCGGAACTCGACAAAGTTGGACTGGTATTTCTGATCTCGGGGGGCGACGAGGCGATGGACCTGAACGGTTGTCGGTGGTTAGTTAGATGGGAACCTCGGAGCAAGTGCGGGTGCGGGTGGTATTGCAATTGCGACGAACCTCGCCTTTCAGTTTGACTTTCTCTTCATCCTGTAGCCCAGTGTCAGCTCAAAGTTCCAATTCTATACCGACTGATGGATTCTGGCAGAACTCACACTGTACGGTGAATACCATTTCGCCAGGCGCGTTTTCCCCCTATACCGTCATTAGTGTCGAAATTGAAGATGACCCGCGCGGACACCACTCACTGGCGATTCTGAACCAGGATAAAGGAAAGGACCATTGTTATAGAAAGCCAGGATGTTACCTGGTCAGCATTTATGAAACCACTCGGAGAGTGTTGCGACAAGCTTTGGATGGTCTCCGCTGCTCCCGTTATCGAAGCTCCCCTCTCATCTTGCCCGGACTCACCGCCCAGATGGATTCTATAGAGATGCAGGTGAAATAGAAGCGCATGTCAAATTACAGCAAATTATTCTACTGATCCTCAAGCAATTTAGTTCCCATCAGACATTCAATGCATCAACTCAACTAGTATAACAATATTTGCAAAACATAGAGTATCAACAGACATAAAGCGTAGAATTCGTTAACAGCTCCCATTACAGCCCGGTGTAACACATGTGACAATGAGTGACACTGCACAGTGACGGAATAAAGTGTTCTGGTTTGCCATGTTCCATAGCGCCCGGCAGCCCTCACCCCGAGCTCATCCGATTGAAAAACCTCGTCAGACGAGTCTAGAAATACTCCATTAGCAACCAAGTAATGTAGCAGTGAGACCGAGAGCAAGTCCGCGAAAGAAAAAAAACCACGTACCGTATAGCTCTGCGGCCTAGGAGGCTCTTTCGGACTACCCCCCTTCTGGCTCTGCGCCTGGCTCTGAGCCTGACTCTGGCGCCGAGTCTGGCTCTCATCCTCAGACTCATCTTCAGACCCGTAATCCTCCTCCTCGGAATCAGGATACCACCGTTCCGGATCCCCATTGTAGACAAGATACCAGCCGATTTTCTCGCCGGGAGCTAGGCGATCGCGCAATTCCTCCAGCGCCGCCATCTGGTCGTCCGTCAACCCAGAGCCCTGTTCCACGCAATCGATATTCTCTCCGGCGCCACCACCACCCCCGTCCTCCGGCATCTCCAGAACCCGCGTTGAAATATACGCATGGTCCTGGCTGACGGTGCCACTCGTCTCGTCGGCGGGGTCATACTGCTCGATAAACGACAGCTCTGGCAGCCGGGTCACCAGGTCCGCTTGGGTTTTGTGGAAGGATTCTGCGATAAGCTCGGTCGTCAGCGGTTGCTGGATGTATTCCGCTGCTGCTTCTTCCAGGTTGTGGAGTACGATGTATACGCGGATCCCCGTGAACCCGGCGCGGGGCCAGCGGAAGCCGTGGAGCATATAGACCGGCATGGTATCCGGGCCTTTTCTTGGGGGCTTTTTTTCGGGGTTCGGGAGGGTTATCGCGGTGTCTAGCGACCACTAGCTGGGGAGGATTGTCAGATTTGCAGGGGATTCGGAGTTCATATTAAGTCTGTGTCATGGCGGGTGGTGTATCGACGCGATTGGGTTTTGCGGGTCCCGTGCGTTTCAACGGGAGCTCCGATTTGTACTGCTTTAATGCCTCCAATGAATGGGTGGGATTCGAGATTAAATCTATGCTCGTGTTTCATTGGATTTTAGGTGATAACCCCGAAACCCACAGTCTGGAGAAGATCGTGCCTTGCTTCTATCACGTGGCATATTATTAGTTGGCAGTAGAGGCTCTTAGATGCTCTTTATTACACCCAATTACTACATTGACAAAGCAGAATGTGCTAACTATTCCAATGTAACATTCCCTCTCTCAACATTGGAAATACGAACTCCCAACCTCCGAGTTCCGCAGAATATGACAGGTCATATTCGGGGAACCGCTTGGTCTAATTTAAAATCTGTGACTTGTCGAGCCAGTCAATTGCAGTTAACGCGAATCGTTAAAATGAGGAGATTTGATTCATTATGCAGGGCTAGAATCAAAACGTTCGACCTAGTGAAGCCCTGTCTAAGGCACTGAAAAGGAAACCGACATGAAAATGGCTAAAATCAAGACGCCGAGTGCCGGGTTCTGGTGAGTATTGAGATAGCTTCTCAATCATGGTCTCCTCTTCAAATCCGCAAATCTCCGTGTCAGTTCATCCAGTTCGGGTATCCCACTGTTGTTACTCTTGCTCTTAGAGGCACCATCCTCCTTTGGGACAGCAGCGGCTTTCCCCTCTGTGCCGGGAAGCTTGACTCTGGGATTGGGATTATCAGTCCTGGGAGCTGGCGGCGCAACGCTGACAGGACTTCGGCCCGCAGTGAGTCCACGTGGAGGCGTAGCTTTGGTCAATTCGCTGGTCTCTGAGGCACGTCTTGCTTCAGCCAAGTTCGGCCTCAACGCCGAGTCTCCTTGCTGCTTGCTAGGAGTTTGCGGTAATTGGGGTTCCTCTGCATCACCATCATCGCCATCACCAAGGTCGTCAACAAATTCTGGCGGCGCGCTTCCCAACTCTTCTTCTTCGGCCCCATGCCATTCAACGCGGTACGCCTTCGCAATTTCTCGAAGGTAACTCTCAACAAGATCCCGTCCTGGTGGGCGCACACGCAAGCCCTTGAGAAGCCGATCCGGAACCTTGACAGTATCGATCTTATTATCTTGCGCTAGAGTCATAAACTCCTTGCCGTATCGCTCGCCCAGCATAGTACGAAGCATAGTGAACTCGCGCACCTCGTGCGGAAAGCGATGCCACGCGTAGAATACCACAGTAGCAGCCTCGTCAAGCGCAGTATCGAGGTAGGGGTTATCGTCGTCCGCAAGCCCATCACCAGAGTCATCCGCCGGACTACCAGATCCTGTGATAGGCGCAGCCCGCTCAGCCTCCTTCTTTTGCGCTCCTCCGCCCAGCCAAGAGAACCCGAATATCGAGCCAGTACTTTCCCCAGCGCCCTTGACGCCTGCGGTGGTTGATACCGTAGCACCGGCTTGTTCTTGGGTGCGCTTCTTGAGCAATTCCTTGGCGCGAAGTCTGGCGCGGGTCCCTTGGTCGCTGAAGGCCATCTGATCCAACACGTTTGCGCGCGCAAGCAGCAACTCGCAGTAGAGCTCGACCATCTCCATTACCTCTACTGCAATATCTGTTGCAATCACATTTTCGACTCGAATGCGCGCTGATGCATCGCGGCCTTCGCTGAGGAGCTGGGAGAGTTCACGGCGTTGGACGACTGAGGAGGCTGTATCTTTCTTCTGTAGGAGACGGAGACGAGGGATAAGCAGGCGGAGGGTGGAAACTAGTCTGGTCTTTGATTTCATTGTGTTAGTTATTTGGTTTCTGTCAGACGCGCATAGGAGATGCAGCAGGCAGGAGTTATATGGGCAGTGCGGGGTAGCCTTGGGAGCTCTAGGTAGCGATATTTTGGGGAAGTGCCCCGGTCATGAAATGCATATGCGAAAGAAGAAGAAAAACAAGTGAGATCGTGATGACTTACTGTTTGCGCCGAGGGAGGCATTTTGGCGTGGTAACTTGTTGAAGAGAAGATGAGGGGGGAAATGGAGCCCGATGGGGCCGAGAGACCTTGGGGTCACCACTACTCCATCGGATTACCCTTTGTTTTCTCAGTCGAAACTTGGAGAATCCACCAAATTCAACCAATAGAACGATAAAATGTTGATTAGGCATTTGATGTGCTCTCGATGTTTCAAGGAGTTCTGGGAGGTCCGCCCACTCCCAAGGTCAGCCTCGGCTTGACCTACAGTTCTACCGCAACAGTTGTACAAAGTTGCCTACATAGTTCATTCAACTTGACAACATGTGGCTAGTTCCCCAATTCCTAAAAAACCTCTGGTGTAGGGGTTCAAACGAATATCCGGTCTTTCCCCCGCCAAAGCCCGAAGAACTCCTCGCTCGCCCTAATGTCTACCGCGAACGCCTCTTCCAACGCATCTATCGAATCCCTAAAGACAAGCTAGAAGACACCCCACTGTTTTCACTATACCGACTCTATGAGAGCTTGGTTTTGAATGACAACATCGGTCTGCGAAACGGAATCGAATATTTCTGGTACGCGAAGTGGCCGGTTGCCTCTATTCCTGATCCACAGGACCCCTCCGAATCTCGCTACGCGGTTCTTTCTGCTATCCCGGCCTTGTTGGTCGAGTCATTTAACAAGCGTATCGAGCTGGGTCTCCCACGGAAAGCCGACCCCATCATGTCCCGCGAAGAAATGGAGCAGTACCAAAAGGAGGACAGGATATTCGAATCAGCGCCAGAGTGGACGCACCAGGTGGCGCGGTTAGAAGATACCCTAGTAATTCCACATGATAACGAAGAGGTTCTTGGGTCGTTCGATGATGAAAGGGCTAGCGAACAGCTGGCAGCGAAGAACATCTTGCATTGGCAACCACATATTCATTTCATTTGAAAATTAAACATGTTGGCCTATGATTTCCGATGAATTATGACGCGATGAATTGTTACTCTCATATATATTTCGCTCAGTGAAAATCGATAGCAATTGCGCTTTTGTCCTCGCTTCTCGACGCACTTGGTGCAACGGCGGCATTGACGATGAGTGTTTCTTGTGGGGGCTCAGTGTTTCTCCCCATAGTGATCTTGCTCCATAGGGTCTGTTTGAGAGCCCGAACTATATCATAACCTTCCCATCGCATCTGTAGTCCATTTAGAACGTCCTCGATTCCATCATGCTGGATGACAGCAACACCGAATGCCCCATGGATATGTCCACAGACAACCATCTTGGGCCTTACTCTTTGTATCTCACGCAATAGATACCCATCCCCTTTAACCTTGACCTTTCCATCCGGTCCCTTCTCGCTATCGCAGTCACCATATAGAGCTGGAGGGCCATGCACCACCAGAATATCAGTATCATCGGGGATCTGCCCGGTCCACACGTCGCGGATCGAAGGATACTGAAAGGCCCAAAGGCCAAACTCCGGCGTCATTGGAGACCCATATATTTTCACCCGGCGCACTTGCTGCTCCCCGGCAGCGGGCACTGGTAGTTCCAGCGTCACTGCTTCTTCTTGCAAATAATGAATCCCCATCCAATCCAATTCCTTTCGCTTCGCAGCACTAATTCCATCGCGTGTAAGAAACCTCATCTCGCTTGCTTCATCGAGGATAAGGTCATGGTTTCCCGCGATGACAATCTTATGGGTGTGTGGCTGAGAAGACAGCCAGTGGAGCTGTGCTTGCACCTCGTCAAATGTACCATGGGCCGTTAAGTCACCTGCGTGAACTAGTATATCTCCGGGTGGCAGAGGAGGGGTTGCATTGTGCGTGTCTGATATGCATATTATGCGGATTGGAGGGTGACTTGAGTTACTTTGAAGAGGAATTGGTGTTATCGATGGTTTCTGTGGTGCAGACTGCGTGGGTCCTCCCAATAAGATATCCCAGAGGGGCTGTACTACCCGCTCCGGCCATGTTGGCGGTCGTGATAAATTGTATGGGAAGGGAAGTAGATGGTTGTTCATTTGAAGTTTTCCTCCAACTATCCTACAACGTTGAGAATGGGGGTTGAATGGTTTCATTCAAAAAGTCCCTGTGGCGCAGCGGATTTGTCATCGTATCAGAAGCAGCCCTGAACAGAATAGGGAACGGTATAGAATATCTGTCGTGGGAACAGCATCATTCTCCTACACCTCTTAGATATCTAGATTGTATGAGCGATTTAGATTATATTCAATGTTTAGTATATTATATCAGAAGACAGTCACGACCCAAACGACCAATATCAAATATCCACCGCGACGATATCTCCAAGCCTTCTTCCTGGTCCCAATAATCTTTCATAATCTTCGCTGCATTGACAACATTCAAACATCTCGTAGCAGTCCAAAACTTCTCTAACGATTCAACCAAGAAATCTTTCTGGGCGCGAGACCGACACTCCAAGCCCGCCACGAAGATAGCCCACAGAATACATTTGAAAAGCGCCTCGTCATCTTTCAAAATATCAATCAGACCCAACAGCTCAAAGACTAAATCGTCCTGCACTGTGATGGTTTCCGTCAGTACATCCAGAATGCGTCTCCCATATAGCAAAGCCCCGGTTTTGAAAGCCTGCGATAATGTGCAGAGATAATTGATTCTTTCTGGGGCAGACTGTCGCAGACTCGAAGCCCAAGCGTAACTGTCAAAGTTTTGGATGAGGTCCAGCATCGCGGTGGTGTCTTGGATATGTGTTTGGAGAGCGGCACCGTCCGGTAGCTGTTCTGCGATGGCGTCCCTTTCTTTGGAGAGATATTGTATCGCCGACAACAGGAACTCTGGACATCCAAGGAAAGATTGCTCGATTTTTTCCTGGGATTGCCTTTCTGCTTGGCCGTTAAATATGAATTCTGACAGTAGTTTCGGTCGTAAAAATGTTGCCCCGAGCGTCTCGATTCTATTTTGTAATCAGTCAGTCTCTCGCATGGCTGTATACCACTAGGCTTAGTCTAACTCACAAATGAATCTGATTGGAGATAAACCCCCGAATCTCCTGTATCGTCTGGCCAGGTCCATCATTGACCCCAGCTTGCCACTCCAGTAGCGGCTGGTAGGATGTAATCAAACTCTTAGCACCCTCAAGATGGAAATTCCAACCTTCACTCCCAGATTCGAGGAGATCCAGGAAAATAAAAAGAAATATGCTAGCAACGGTTGTGTCGCCTTTTCCTATTGTTCCGTCACCAAGTACCTGGGAGAGAGCTTCCATGGCTTGGTGTTTGAAAAGTAGCGCATCGCGATTGGCATTAATGAGGCCAGGAGATGTCGGAGGTTGATCTTGATGGAACGACTGGCCTGTATTAGCATGGTGCCGCGCCGCGAGAGCAAGTATGCCCTTCTGTAAGACCGGGTCGTTCAATCCAAAGGAGAGCAAGCTCCGGAATGGATTCCTGGCGCTGTCGTATACAATGAACAATTTGCATATGTGTCTGTTATCTGAATGCGATGTCAGCTATTAGTATCCTAGTGTTAGCGGTTTGCATGCAGATCTTACAGTAGTCTATATAATATTTCGAAGTTTGATCCAGGCTTGACATATGCGGATCTTGCAAGGCAGCCGGCAGCATACTACCTTGGACCAGCGGGCCGGGCGATGTATTCGGTGTCGATAGCGCGGAATCGATAGTTCTAGGAGTTTGCACAGGAGATCCATCTGATCCATCTGATATACTCTCGTACGAATGGCCTTGCATCTTTCCGCGAATCGCAACGCCCTTGACCCACCTCAGAGGTCTCTTATCGAAGCACTCCAGGTCGGCTCTTTCGCACTTGGTGCATGGTGTTCCAGACTGGTCGCATTGAATGCGGCGGTTGCGACATGTCCAACATGGATATGGCATAGGGAATGTGCAATGTGGGGAAGAAGGGTATCAGATACTCGAGTCGGGAGATATGAAGCCCTGGAGATAAGACTTGCTGACTGAGCGGACCCGTGGACCGGCTATCCATGGATCCATCCAACCACATACCTGTCGACGGCAATTCTTCGCCAGCACGACAATGGGTTTGAACATGGGTCTTTTAATGTATCAAGTTCATGAATTCAGCGCATAATCTATGTCTGTCATTCCTGCTCTTTTAGAAGACAGAGAAAAATATCAGAAACAGCACAGAAAAAGAGCTAAAAGAGATTTCTCAAACGTCAAGAGGATATTAGAGATCTATATAAAGTACCTAGACCCACTGAGAGGCTAGTCATCCCTCATAAGTGGCTATTCCTTCATATTGTGCCTATATGGATATTTGCTTTCTCTTCCACAATTTAACCGGTGTATATAATATCACCCCGCTATGGGTGTCCCCTCTAATTGATAATCCAAACCCCTTCAAAGACTATATTGAACCATATGGTAATAGACCGGTGAATCCAATTCTGCTAATTCGAAGCAATATGTCGCAAGACTCCCAGAGTATTCACACCACACCGCGACGTCCCAAAGACAGTGGGGCTTAACAAGATTAGCAACGGATAGACCGAGCCATCTGAGACATGTAAGACCTAAGCAAACAGACTTGCAGCAACCCCCGTCCTCTCATTCCTCGAATTGCTGCAACCAATGCGGGTCCGACGGCGCGCAGAGAGAGACACCAGGCACCGTCGAGCCAATCAAGCACCGCACAAGCGAAATCGGACCCAAAAAAAGCGAGAGCAAGCCACTATAGCAAATTAGCCCTAGAGAATTGAGGTCCGTCCATGAAAGTTCTCCGGTCAAAATTCCTAGGGCCGTACGGAGTATATTTAGAACATTTAGTCTTTTGATTGGTCGATCCACCAGCCATTCAGCCACGCTGATTGGCCCGCTCGGTTCCTGACATCATTGGCGTGGGAGTCTGTCGCCGCTATACCTATTTAGGAAGAATATCACAACTGTATGGTCGATTTTAGCAATCCCTTCGCGTTTCAGCATTGCTTAGCCGTAGGTGTGAGGTTTTAGCGTGCAGTATGCTTACTTATATAGCTGGCAGAGTTTGCCCACTAAATGTAGTCTACTGTTTCCTATCTCATCCCACAAGAGGTACTTCGAATCGACCAACACGAAGAATCTGACATTGACACCTTCCACCTTCTTTGACTACAGTATGCATCTATCTACCCCATATTATGCCCCTTATGTCCAATAGCTAACAAGACACTTTATTCTCTGCAGCCTCCTCAAACCACAATGCCTACCATCACACCCACGATAGAGGCAACAATGACACAAACATCCACAATCGATAGCGCTACAAGCTTGCTCAAGCGTAGCAGCATGAGCAACCCCGACAAATACCCCCTCTACATCTTCCTCATCCTCGCCGGCTGCATTGTAGGAGGAGTCATCGGGTTCAGTATATACTCCATGTACTATGGCCTTGACGATTCAGGCACGTTCAAGGACGTGGGCTACGAGCAACGGAAATACATGCGCGAGACCAGGCAGCGGACTATGAACATGCTGGCTGTTGAGGCGAGGAGACCTGATATGATTGTTCCTGTCGGGGAATTGGATGCTTGAATTGCTTGGGTCTGGCGTTTGGGGTGGGGATGTCTACATAAGGAAGGGCCTCTAGTTAGGTATGGGCGGTTTGGTTCGATGGATATTATATGTAAGCAGCTAGCAATTATGATGTATGCACGCGCTATATATATCGGAACAAAGACAGTCTCAATGTTTGTGTATATTCAATTAACCAAGTATTCCAAGGACAGTGTGATGCTTGACCCGAAGAATCAAAGCGAGGACGAACGATGAGAGAGCGCTCTGTATAATCAGCAAAGATCTTTCTGAGATCTTTACCCTAGTGGTAAGTGTTGACGAATAAAGAAAATGAACACTGTCTTTCAATGTGCAATCAAAAAGACCTGGTTGGTTTCAGCTTCAATCAGCTGTCACATGTGAACAAAACAAACCCCCTGCATACCAGAAGCAATAAGAGTAAATATTCAACAAGCTGAAAAAGAAAAGCAATGCCGTGGAGCAAAGGGATATAAAAGTCATGAAGCAGAGTAAGAAAAAAAGTCCAACGTTGAGCGTCGTCAAGAAAGGGCATCCAAGGGATGACAAGAATCGTAAAAATGGGGATTATGTAGAAGAAGAATTAAAATGTGAAAGAATCGAACAATAGATGCCCACGGGTTTACCGCAGGCAGATATAGTGCAGAAGAATGCCCCAAGGCGGTGTTTGTACACACCCGTACATATATGCAATATTGTACTCTCAATATAGACGAATCAGTCAGTGCTGATTTAGAAGTTCACGACCATGGCTGCAAGCGCACCGAATGCCAGGGTCAGCATGGACGCAGTGGCGCTGGTAGCACCGCCAGTGGCGGAGGATGGGGACGCAGCGGCGGCGGCAGCGGACGTCATGGAGGCCGCTTTGATATCAGCAGAACCAGTCAGAACGTGCGGCTGGTACGTATAGCTTAGTGTCAGGCTCGAGTTGGGTAGGCGCGCGCTGGGGCTAGTGGCGCTCATGATAGGAGTTGTGGTGGAGCTGGAGCTAGCAGTGGAGGTGGAGATAGCAGTGGAGGTGGAGCTAGTAGTAGAGGTGGAGATGGTAGTAGAGGTGGAGCTAGTAGTAGAGGTGGAGCTAGCAATAGAGGTGGAGCTAGAGGTCGAAGTGGGAGTCGAGGTCGAAGTCGACGAGGGAGTAGAGGTGGAGGTAGAGGTGGGTGTGGATGTGGGTGTGGGAGTCTCGGTGGTGCTAGTGCTGGTGCTGGTCGGAGTAGGAGTGGGAGTTGAGGTGCTGATGCTGGAGCTGCTAGTGGAGGCAGCAGTGCTGGTGGAAACCTCGATGGTCTCAGACGAGGTGCTGCCGTTACCCTCCTTCTCGAAGACGATAATGTGTGCAGTCTCACCCTTAGGGATGGTCACGACGCAACCGGTGGCGCCGCCAGCGCCAGTGAAGGGCTGGCCGATCATCTCGTTGACGTTGTTGACAGCAGGGTCGATCTTGCAGGGCAGGCCGTTGCAGCCATCACCCTCACACTCAATCTCGATACCGAATTCAGGCTTGACATTGCGGAAAGGCGTGGTGGGTTCCAAGTAGATGGGGTTCCAACCGATCTTCAGGAAGGTGTTACCATTCTCGTCGGTGTTGGCGCCTGCGGTATACGGGGACCAGTTACCGACGGGGTTCTCGGAGGTACCCCAGACACATCCTTCCTCCGCGGTGACACCAGGGGCGTTAATGTAGTACTGGGCAGCAGTGGAGCACCAGTAGGACATGCCCGGCACAGCCAGGTCGGCCAGCTCATCAACCATGGTGGGGATAAGCATAGCCTCATTTCCGGGCAACACAGTCTGGCAGAAAGAGACAGACTTTCCAGCCTTGTTGTGGGCCTTGAGAACACCAGTGGCCGACTCACAGTAGTCGCGGTTGGGGAAGGGTTTCTGGATTTTGCCATCCTCGTCACAGTACAGACCACCCCTCATGGACATGGGGTACGAGTAGGACGTCGCATCAGGATCCCACTGCATAGACACCTGACCGGGGGGCAAGCATAAGGGCAGTAGTTGCCAGGCTTGCAGGGCTCATCGGGGCTCATAGCCCAACCGGCGTTTTGCTCTTGTGGGGTGATCTCAACCAGGCCAGCATCGGAGGGGAACTCGCACTGTCCACTCCTCTTTTCCAAAACAACATCACGAGTCTCGTGGTTATGGCTGTGGCCATGGCTATGTTTGGCGGCTTCAGCGCTCGCAATGAGGGCGACAAGCGCCGCTGCGCGGAAGGATGTGATCTGGAACTTCATTGCGTCGGGAGAAAAGACTCGGCAAATTGATAATATAAACGAATGTATGTATGAAGCGAATGGCTAAGTCAAACGAGTGACAAAAAGATACGGCCGATGGCCAAGGACAGACACAGTGCTCACAGATAATGAAGGTCAAGACGAGCGAAGGGAAACAGACGGGGAAATGCACCAAGAAAAGGGACACGGCCTCTAGGGAGTCCCGGCTCAGGTCCACGAGTGTGCTAACCTAATAAGGCGTTAGATCTGGGATGATGTGCGCGCAATTCCGGTGCAGAGCAGAGCAGCCCCGACTTTCATGGGCGGCTCGTCCGTGATTGACCATAATTCCCATAATTGCGCCCTAAACTGGAAATATGGGCGCAGCCTTGGACCCCCAAAATGCTGTGCCCCTGAAGCAGACTCCACTAGTGGACAGCCACTAGACACTTAGTGTCAGGGGCAATGATAGCCTGCAGCCAATGATGAACGCCATTACCCCGATGGTTCCTGCTTGGCAGGGAGAAGGGCCAATAAGCTAAGAGATATGCATTTTGTGGAGTTGTCTCTCGAACTCTTTCAACGGCAAAATAAAAGCGAAAGATAAGTGTTTAAATGAAGAGGTGAAGAAAAGGAGGAAAAGGCGAACCTTTACCTGAGAAATCTTGTCACATGACACCTCAATATCTACAACATACCTGGGTAACTAACTAACCAACTAATAAATGTGGCATGAGAAAAACCCAAATTAAGTGAACTCAGACTTTACCGAGTACATCATACGTTCTGCACGAAAAGAAGAAATGTCCACCTAAGCCCATGAATGAGTTAATTTTCCCAAATGGGAAATATTGCTCATTTAGCCTAGTACCCGTCAATCCCAATCAAACCCACCATACTACACCGTTTTAAACCTGTTGATCACTACAAGTGGGCTCTCTCTTCTCTTTGATAGGCATGGAATCACATGGCCAAGAAATTCGAATCCTTAGAGCGTTTGTCCCGGCTGCCAATGTGTCGCTCTGTGGTTTAGTTAAAGCTTGGCCTAGGAGAGTATGGGGGTTTTCATGGCATAGCAAGCAATCAACAAGATCACCGCTAAGATCACTTTAATCAAGAGCTCCATGAGATGCTATGTCCAAGATACACCAGAGTTGCAAATTGGAAAGTGTGCATTGTGAGGACGCAATCCGGAATCTCAATGCAAGAAGCATGGACCTGATTAGTACGTGATGCAGGCGTATGTCGATATCTTCGATGACTTGGGCCAATTATATCGGATTGTATAAGTCTTCCAGGGCTATGTTGTCAAGGACAAAGACCGAGGGACTCTTCATTATACTTCTTCGAACTGTGATTTGTGAAATATATGTTGGACAGCTTAGTACCTAGCCCTAAGCTATGGCGATCCTTGCGGCGGCTACAATCATCTCCTATTGCAACGAATGCTAAGAGTGAAAATCAAGAACGGCATTGCGTTACGCATGATAAACAGGATGTCTTTTTTGAGTTTGCTGCAAGGACTGTTGATGTTCCTCGCATGGTGAGTGTCCACTCGGCCTATTACTTGGATTTCGCGGGGCCCTAGTGCATCTGACAATATATGACAGATCGCATTGACACGGCCACACCGTTGTTCTTTTTTGGTGTCTTTTGTGCTGATTTTTGAGGGATCTTTAGTTATACTACTTTCCAATGAATTTGGATGCTACCATTATGTGGCTTTTGTGCTTCGAAAAAAAGAAGAAAAAACAGGTTCAACAATGCCTCAGCTATTGCGACAATCCAAATAAATGAAAGAGTTTAGCAGGTAACTGCTCAATCACCTTTGAATACAATCCAGGCTTCCCCCTTGTGTATAATCCCATCGCTGTAGTTAAATCTTGCCTACAAGAATCTTGCAATGCAACTGAAACCCGAGCGCCCTCATTAAAGAGGCGACAGCCCAAATAAAAAAGGGGAGGACTACAACATACAGCTAAGAAGAGAAGAGTAACTAGTAGTTCGCCTAGTAGTTTTTCTTTCCTCGTTGGGGATCATTTGAGGCTATTCACACTTCTGACCCACCATGACCCCCACCCCCACAATAATCTTATTTCTTTTAGGTGTGTACCTACAGTTAGACTAGAGAGAAGGTATGCAAGATCGAAAATGTAATTTGATCTGTAGATACTGCATCGTGTTGGACAGGGCTTCTTGGCCTGAAGTTATTTTGGTTTGTATTTTCAGACATGCATCATGACCTTTCGTTATAGAGCTGTATCATCAGACATCAAAAATTCACAAATGAAGCTATTCGCCTTGCTGAGCCTGTAGGTCCTTCCACCCAGCAAAAGCCAAGACATCATCACGGTCTCTCCATCCCCAAGCAATGCAATAATGCCGTGCAAGTAATTGCCACTCCTCCATTTCATCCAGCATCTCTAGCCCAGCAACTCTTTCCTTCTCATCCTCGTTGACCCACCGCTTCCAAATAAACTCAATATCAGCCGCAGCCTGGCCATCCCCAAAGCCCTGATCTTGGAAGCGGTCTCGCTGCGCCTCAAGCGATGCATACCTAGCGAGAGTCTTGAGCTGGATGCCCCGCGCCGCAAGGTTCGACACCATCGTACGACCAAAGGCATCATTGGGCCGAATAGGCTCATAAAGGATCAACCCAAGCGGAGCAACATTTACCCGCGCCTCCTGCAAGATGTCTCCAGGCCCAGATAGTGGCTGCCCAAAAAGGCGTTGCGTAAAGAACGCAACTACCTGCTCCGCTTCAGTGGGCGATAGGTAGACCAAACAGCACTCGGAGATCAGCAAAGTCGGCAATTCCGTTTCCACGCCTGGCAGGGCTCCAGCAGGGTCACTGCATGTCGACAGCGACCGCAGATCAACCGGGTGGACATGGTACGAGGGCGAATGGAGCGCGTCCCCCGCCTCCGACACAGTAACTCGAGTATCCTTTTCCGATGAAGCCTGCGACGAGTCAATCCCAAGCGCCCTCTGTAGTAAAGGCGCCGATCTAATCGCGCGGATCTTCTCCGCTGTGTTGACGGCGAAATCGAGCTCGTGGTAAACGAAGTCCGGGGTTTGGCGCGACGAGAGGAGCCGGAAGACGCGCGTGTCGGACCCGGCACCTAGAGATATGATCTGTTTCTTGTGTGTATTTCCCGGTGAGAACGGGCCGAGGAAGCGCGCCACGAGCTGGTCGATAGCTGTTGTGCGGGCGTAGGTTCCTAGTGCGCGGGGACGTGTCCGGGTCAGCCGTATGCTCTCTTGTCTTCGGGAATAGCGTAGTTTGAGAGATCGGGTTCACCTCTGTTGATGATTGGCAATCTACGCGTCGCTGACCCCGCAGGTGTTAAAGCTGCCGCGTACACATCCTCTAGGTATCCTAGCTCGACGGCGCTGAGGCGGGACACGCTTGCGTCATTGTCTGTGCCTTGAACGATGCGGTCTTTTCCAGAAGGGAGTCCAGCTTCTTCTGTGCGACTTGTGCCTCGGCCTCGGCCTCGGCCTCGTCGTAGAGTGTTTAGGTTGGGAATATGGGAGGCCATGTGGAATGGAGGAAGCTTGGAGCTTGGAGCTTGAGCTTTCGTGGTGGGGTAGCTATCCGGGCGTGGATGTCGCCTCTTAACTTCATGCCCGATTTCTCCCTCCCAACATTAATATTCCCAAGCCAGTTTCAGAATTATATATCTTCGTCAAATTATTCTATCACATCCTCGCCCTTACGTCTTGTTTGATCGACTCGGTCGATGACTACAACCCGCCCAGGTGGAAAGTTGTAAGATTCAACCGAGGGTGAATTCTTACAGCAATGAAAATTGCACAAATGATGTTATGACATTGAATATCTCGGTCCAACATTTAGTAAAACTGCTCCCTACTGCCAATACCACCGAGTTAATACAGGGCTACGCCTTTTCAACTCCCCCAAGCACGATATCCCTGGTAGGGCTGCCCCTAAATCTACCTATGCCAACTTACTCTTGACAAAGGCAATAGCCTGTGCGCCATACTCAGCTCCGTAACCCTGGTGGGTCGCGGCGTTACTCCCGTTGCAGCAATACGGGTCCGTGGAGTCGCAGTATGATTGAATCTTACTAGCCGACGGGCAAAAGAAGCCAGAAGGACGTGCGTCAAACTATATGTCAGCGTTAGATGCAAGGTTCCCAAGTTCAGGGGGAATATAGGGCAGTCCATACACCTCCAGCAGCACAAGTTCCAACATCATACGACAACCCTGCCACATACAGCGGGTCACCCATGAATATGGCTGCCTTGACCATGCCCACAGCGGACGTTGACAGCTGGACCGCGGTGTTGGTGTAGCCTTGGTTGGGGACGCCGCCGCCGCACAAGGCTGCGTCCATGATTTCACCACCCTGAAGCATCGTAAGTAGTTGGTCTTTCGTTTTGAATAGCCGAGGAAATCTAGCCCACCTGGGAATATCCGACCAGAACAAGCTTGGTCGATGGACATTGTGTGTTATAGGAGTTCACAGCCGAGGCAACGGCTGCAATTCCCTGGGCAACTGAGTTGGAGTAGCTCACGCTGCCGCAGGATGATTGTCCACCGCATGCAGGGTAGCTGATGGCCTCGGCCGTAGAGCCTGGATAGGCATTGAGAAGGCCATTGACAACCGTGATGGACGAGCCATATCCGGGAGATACGGTGGTCTCGCGTGCACCAAAGATGTGGACACCCGGGCAGGAGATACGTTTCTCAATTTCAACATCGAGCGGGACAGCGAGGGCGCCGCCGGCGAGGAGGGAGAATGCCAAGATTTTGGGAATCATGTTGTCAATGGATATCAATCAGAAAATTAGAATAAGCGATTTGTTACCTTGAATATGCTTGGGTTTGCAAGTGGGTTTAATATTCGAACTCCGGAGACCACGGTTGCTTTATATAGATCTCGAATGTTGTCCCCTTGGCAACAGAAACCGGGATATCATTGTATTTTGCCGTGTAGCAGGTCATCAAGAAATTAATATGTCCCTTTGGACCGAGCGGGGCTTTTTGCCTAATG